TTTTTTTAGGATAGAGGTGTTAAGTTGTATCTATTTTTACCTAGTTCAACTAAGAGACTGTCTGCCTTAGGAAAAAGCTGGTGTGTCTATTTGCATACAGGAATGGAAGGGGCATGGAATTTGTTCATGGGAACTGTTGTTCATATAGAAATGTGCGCTACTGCTGGTGACACTCAAGGAAGAGAAGGCCTTGGGCCACTGCAGTTGTGTCTCTAGAACAGACCTTCTGCATGAAATTCCTTGTAGATTAATAGTAGCTGCTTTTAGTTTTTTGACTGTCTCTATCTTTTTTTTTTATGACTGAGTTTTCATAAATATAGCCTAAGAAGGCTTGCTAACTCCTCAGACTTCATTTTTGGTAATTTTCCTTCAGTTCATCTGGAAGGACAGAGAGATTAAGCATTTTACCTATGTCAAGTACAAAATATCCCATCTATATGGAGATGTTATCTTTCATTGATGTTGCTTGAATTTGAGACCAGTATGAAGCCACATACTGTAACGGAGTCTTCAGTGCTTAGCTAATCGCCACCTCTCATCTGCTCATTTGATAATCTGTGACAATAGATCTGTCAAAGTAGCTTTCCAACTCCCTCTCTTTTACAGAGAGTTCTGCCTTGCATTTGCAACTTGTTGACTGAGGGGACTTTCTAGAGGACAAAAAAGCATCTTACATTAGGTGCTACACCTGAACATTTGGTCTATTCAACTGAAATGAATTCAAATAATCTTGATTTAATAAGATTCATGCTTTTACTTTGAAGAAAGTTAAAGTGAGCCTTGTTTTGAGTTTTGCATCACTTTGATTTTTACATTACACGAGAGTACATAGGAAACTCCTTGGGAGTACTTTGTGTTATTTTTAGTTTATCTAAGTCTATAATGATTATTGTCTACTGTATGCCATTGGTTGTATGTTTAACCCTTTAGTTTTAGCTTCTTTTACTAAGTCTTGTTTCTAGCATGCACCTCATGGACACACGTGCTACTCAGTAATCCTGCAATAAAGGAAGATGCAAGTTGATTTTTATTCAAATTTTATTAACAGTTAAGTACCATTTTATTTGTTTATATTAACTTATTTAATCTTTACAACAACTTTGTGATTTAGGAAGAAGTGTTATTTCCATTTTATAGGGAAGAAAATTGAGGCTCAGGGTGATTAAGCAACTTTCCCAACTAATTAATGAATAAGCTAGAAAAATCCAGATTAAGACACATCTGGCTCACAAATGCCAAGAAGACTCTTCATGGTTGGAAATCTATAACTAGTCAAAAGAGTACATGCCCTCAAAAACAATTAATAGTCCAAAAAATTAAAGGTAAATAGCTGATTCAGTTCTAATTTTCCATTTATACATGCATACAAATATTTTATGCCTGTTTCTCTGGCTAGCCCTGTTAACTTGGTACTTCTTTCCTTCTTACAAGAAAAGTTATTTCTGTAAAGGTGCTGCTGGATTTGGAAATCATTCTCATGACTAAGTATCTGTTTGCCTAGTAAGAGGCTGGGTAAGCCAAGCTGCCCAGTGCGTGCTCAGTGAAGACTGATAGAGAGCTGCACACGTCTGAGTGGGAGTTGCGGGCTTAGAATTTCCTCAGCTCTTCAAAAGTGACAGGGATGAGATGCAGGAAGATGAATTTACAGGATTGCCACCCAGCCCCCAGTATGAATGTCCAAATTGGACTAAATCACTTGAAAGGTCCCAGAAACAGAAGGAGTGGGGATATAGAGCAGGGTGTTTTCTTAAGAAATGGTTGGGAGATGCTATGAAATGGGACTCCAAGGCCATTTTAAAGACTGATATCAAATATAAGAGAAAACTTGATTCTCTGATGAGTGCTGGCAAAAATTAAATATTTTTAATTGACACATATTCTATTATTATATAAAGAGGATGAGTAATGTGACATATCAGATGGTTTATTCAAACTGTCAGAGTGAGTGCTGAAGCATGAGTAACATTCCAGAGAGCTTCTGAGAAATTCAAGCAGAGGAAAGTGACAGTAACCACTTAGATACATTTGTCTACTATCAAGTCATCCTTGACAATCTTGGGGGAACCAAAAAGCATTGTCCCAAAGTTTCTGGTGGGGTGTTTCTAGAAGAGGGGAAGGAGACCACTTCCTTAACTAAAAAGCCTAATGTTCACTGCTAACTGTGTATGTACATTTGACACAAAATCTGGAGTTGGCCTGAGGACTTTTGTCATAAACAATGACTACTGAGTACTTCTCTAAATATCAGCATAGTCTTGAGGAGTGAGGGCACTAACTTGCAAAACCAAGCTTGGCTCTGGCAACAGAAGAAAGACGAAGAGAAAAATCTCAACTACCAATACTAGTAACCACCAGTCTTAGAGGTGGGGGATAGATACATTAATGTTGAATACGGAACATCCCAGCCAGTTAGTAAGATGGCCCTGATTCTATTCACAGCTCTTTGACTCAGTCTCTTCATTTGGTAGAGACTAAGTTTCTAAAATCTATACAAATCCTTATAGGATTCCTTCTTAGGAGAAACATTCTTCAAGGAGATGGCTCCACGTATCTTGAAGATGAGAAATTATCTATACCTCTCTACTTTCTAAACATGCCTTTTACCCATCCCTCCCCCAAGTCCAGTGGATCTTGATAACTTAGTGCACCAGACAAGAGTTTATTTGAGGAGTATATTAGCCTCCATTGTTGGTACCAGATCTTGTCATTTTCTCCTTCAAAAGAAAGATGAATTTTGTGAAGTGACTAAGATGTGTTCAGAAAACAGGTATTATACCCAAAAGAGATGTTTCTACATTTGCTGCTTAAAAATATGAAAATAAAGATAGCTCATGAGAATAAAAATGTATAGAAATACATACATAGTTATGCTTACGGTATAGACCCACGTTTATTAAACCATCCTGAATTAAAGGTCAAAGTTTTGAGAAGTGAGAAGGGACACTTTCCACTTCCAGGATCCATGGCTTTAACAGCATCCGAGCAGGTAGACAGATCACATGAACATCTGGCCCATGCTGGGTCTTGCAGGCCAACACCTTAGTGCTGATTCTCCCATGGAGACTACGAGGTGCTGCTAGCGTTCCTCTTAAACAATCAATGAATCTGATTCCTTCTATCTGTTCACTTGACCTTATTTTGTTTCCAATCAAAGAAGGAAAGAAAGAGCTAGAGGGTTAGGGGAGGCAGAGAAAATATCTAGGTTGTGCAGCCCACAGACAGGGCTTCTCTTGGTTACTTGTGATATTATTGTTTGCTTGCTGTAATCTTTTTTGTTCCTGCTTCTTATTTCATATTCTCACCCTGCTATCATAAATGACTATCTTCTAAGCCATCATCCAGTATTGACAAGCAAATGCACCCATGTTTGATTGACATCCATTGCTTCTGAATGCAAAAGTATGATTTAGGAATTAGTTATCCTTATTTATGTAAAGCCTTTCTTGTGTGCCTTATGTATTTATAAGTGGGATAACGGCTAATATCTACTGTGAGGGCTTTCTATTAATATTCAAATCAGAGCTGTTTCTTGTGCTCTCCCACTGCCAATGTGGGGGGGGGCGGTCATATTTTCCTATTTCCCTCTTCCCCAATATATATGTGGAAAATCTGCAATGGAACTTTCTGTATCTTAAGGGAAGACCTTGTTTGGCATATAGTGTAAAGGTTACTTGCTTTACTGTAAGATTTCCTAAGGTATTCTGACAAGTGATTTCTCACATATGCAGCACTTTTAAGTAGATGCAACTTCAAGCCCAGTGACAATATCTGCCAAGATGTACTGGACTTATTAGTCGAGTACATATACAGGTCTACTCTCACTGCTGTACAGCACTTGTAAAAAGAACCACAGACACACACACCCCGCCCCCACCTGTGTGGACATGTGCATTTAAAATCATTGAGAAATGTCCTTTGGTATTTTAATACACCTTCCTGTTCACGGGGTAATATCTTATTTCATTTAGAAAGCTGTGGAGGAAAATCACAAGGTTAAAAAAATCATAGGTACCATCTGGAAAATTCTAAAGGGCCCTCCTTATGTTAAAAGTGGCATTTTGCAAAAACACCTGAAGCACTAATCGCGGGTGAGCCAGGAGAGAAATACTGTCAAGGAAGCCACCTTCCCTTCAACCTTCGTCCCCACCCTCCAAGTGCGGCTTCTGGCAGTGGGGACACAGGCTGAGGCACTGCTCTCCCCTCCCTCAGGTCTGTCCAGCGAGAGCGCTGCCATGGCCTGAGTTCGCCAAGGGAGAATTCAGGATCTCACTGCTCATCCATGTGCAGAGAGAGAAAAAAAGAGAGGCCGGAAAAAAAAAAAAAATCCCACATTGTCAGAGTAATGCCAAACTCTCTCTGAGTGGGATGAGCGCAGCAGATGCTGCACGGAGATGCCAAAGCGGCTCCCCTTCCTCTGTGCCTTGGGTGCCTATAAATTGCTCCGGCGCGCGCTTGTCAGCCTCCTCTTCTCCTGGCAGGTGGTACCCAGGCAAAATCCTGCTTTCAGTCTCTCTCGCGCTTCGCTCTCAGCCGCGAGGCGCTCGCCGCTGCTCGCTAGCGGCTTCCACGCTGTAGCCCTGAGCCCAGGCGAGCCTACAGTGCCTGCCTTCGCCGCCTCAGCTGCTCTGCGAACCCGGGGGGCTCCCGGCCAGAGCTCGAGTGCCCAGAGCAGCGCCCAGGGGATGCACTTCTGCTAGAGTTGCGGTGTCTGCAAAGAAGGAAGAAGAAGGGAGGGGGAAAAAAAGCAGCGGACAGGCAAGCCCATCTTGCAAAAGAAGAGAAGGAGGCAGAAAAAGGCAACTTCAGGCGGAAAGTTGGTGCGAACTGGCGCAGTCTGCAAAAACGGAAAAGTCGATGCAGGCAGCGGTGGCATAAAAGTGTGAGCGGTCCGGGTGAGCGCAAGACGCGGTGGCTGCTGGCTGCGCCCTCCGGGTGCCCGCGCCCGCGGCGCCAGCCACAAGTGCGAAGGGGCTCGCGGGAGGCGACAGGGCGCCCCGCGCACCCCGCCCCCAGCCCCCACCCCTGCCCGGGACTTCAGCTCGAGTCACTCGGCGCAGCTTCAGCGAGGGGAGTAGAGCCGCCGAGGAGCGGCCCGCGCGCCTGCCCAGGGGAGTTGGGGTTCGGAGGGAATTGTTTTCGGCTCTGAGAGGTCCCCGCCCAACCTTCAAAATTTTGTCCAAAAGCAGACAAGAGGATCGCCCCGCGCTGAGCCGGCTCGTGGGCAGCAGGAGGCGCCTCATCGCCGCCGGGGCGCTGGGGGTGGTGATGGTGCTCCTGCTGGTCATCCTCATCCCGGTGCTGGTGAGCTCGGCCGGCACGTCGGCGCACTACGAGATGCTGGGCACCTGCCGCATGGTCTGCGACCCCTACGGCGGCACCAAGGCGCCCAGCACCGCCGCCACGCCCGACCGCGGCCTCATGCAGTCCCTGCCCACCTTCATCCAGGGCCCCAAGGGCGAGGCCGGCAGGCCAGGGAAGGCAGGCCCGCGTGGGCCCCCCGGAGAGCCGGGACCGCCGGGCCCGGTGGGTCCCCCGGGAGAGAAGGGCGAGCCCGGCCGCCAGGGCCTGCCGGGCCCGCCCGGGGCGCCCGGCCTGAACGCAGCCGGGGCCATCAGCGCGGCCACCTATAGCACGGTGCCCAAGATCGCCTTCTACGCTGGCCTCAAGCGGCAGCACGAAGGCTACGAGGTGCTCAAGTTCGACGACGTGGTCACCAACCTCGGAAACCACTATGATCCCACCACGGGCAAGTTCACCTGCTCCATCCCGGGCATCTACTTCTTCACCTACCACGTCCTGATGCGCGGAGGGGACGGCACCAGCATGTGGGCTGATCTCTGCAAAAACAACCAGGTGAGTGCTGGCGGGCGGACGGGCGGGCGGCGGGGAGGGCGGGGAGCAAGCGCGCAAAGGTGCGGGCAAGAGGGAGGAGACCCCGGAAAGGGGGGTGGGAGCCCGCGTAGCAAGGGCGCGGCCACCGGCTCCCGAGAGCCCCGGCGAGGACCAAGCTGGAGAGGCGGAGGTAGAATTTGGAAGAGGGCGCCCCGCGGCCCGGAGAGGGTGGTTTCGGGGTTCCGGGCCAGCACTCGGTGCAGGAGCCCAAGACACCAACCCTTAGGGGACGCGCAGCCAAGCGCTGGGCACCCGGACCGCGCGGGGGCTGGGGTGACTCAGATCCCAAGACGACCCCTGACCGCGGGATCCCCAGTAGCATAAAGGAGTTCACAGACTTTCTCCAGAACTGAGAGGGCTTGGAGAGCCCGAAATGGGCGTGTCTGTGTGTAAAACTTCAGGGAAATAGACTAGAGATGCAGGGAGAAAGAGAGAAATCAGAGTAAGTTCCAGGTGGGCGCACTCAGGGCAGAGGCGGAACCGTGGGGCCGCCGGGACCAGGCGGTGAAACTCCAGCATAGTCGATTTCAGGACACAAACTCTGACTTGGTTTTCAGCCCAGGAGGAGGGATAGAGGGACGGAGTGTTAACCAGAGGAAAAGTTGAGAGCAGCAGATTTACTTGATAAGACCACCGGCACCCAAACAAGGAATCCAAACTCTAATAGGACGAAGCAGATGCAGGTGGTCAGGAGGGCGACCTTCCGAGCTCAGCCCGGTAGCCTTGAGTCTTGCCGCCAGCGAACCCCAGGACACCGGGGCGAGGGTTTTTTCAACCAGAGTCTTGTGGCTTGTTTGCGGCAGCGGCGGCAGCAGCCTTGGTCTTGACTATGAAATAGTCTCGGGCGGTCCTGGCCACCAGATCTTGCTCTATTGAGCTGGTCAGTGCTGGCAAAGAAGCCACGGTTTCAAGTATTGTGCTAGGGCCACTCATCTGTTTGCTGAACAAATTCGCGCATCTTGCAAAACCGAGGCATGTTGGATTTTTTATAGGAGGAACAAAGTGTTTGCTACTACCTCAAGGTGTAATCGCAGCTTCCAAACAGGAGCCAGGCCTTGCAGTTTGCTGTCTGCAGCCTAAGCTGAGCTGCTTGACTTTCACTGCACTTTTTGAGTGACATAGAGAGTGGCCCGCGGCCCTTCCGTCACCCTCAGGAGGCCTTTTGTCCTGCAGCAACTTTAACTTAACGAGGGTCATTGGGCTTCAGCTCCCTGGGTCCCCGGAAATTCAGCTATAACCCAGGTTTCCATTAAGACCATTAAAGCAGGATTTCTTTCAAAGACCTAATTCAGAGTCAGAATTCTCTAAAAAATGAGAGACAAATGTCCTACATGTAGGAGTTTTTCTTTTAAGTCTTGTTCTTTCCCTTTCCTACAAATAGTTCAAGGGCCCCCCAGGACACTTAAAAAGAGGGGAAATGGCCACCAGGAGGCACTGACAGGGTAGTTTATTATCGTTATTATGCATGAAAATAATATTAAGATAAATAAAAATTATTCACAGAGCACTGGGATAGTTATATGTAAATGGCTATAAAGGGCATGAGTCACCGTTCCAAAATACAGTCATTGTGTCACCTAACAACTTGGTTTTTGAATAGATCCTCAGCAGGCATCCATGAGGCACCCCTTCATTTACAAATTGGCCCTCTTCTGACTCAAAGGTTAGGTCTAGAGAATACTATCAAAAGGAAGAGATTTCTTGTAGAGCTATCAACTTACAGTGGAATAAAATTTCAGTTTTGTACAAAGGTATTAAAATGGTCACATTAAAAAATATCAGGCAATTTTACTTCCATGAAAAACCAGGAAGTAGTTCATTTAAATTAGTTTAAATGTCAGTGTCTAGACCGTAAAAGCTGTATACACTGCACTGACTCTAAGAAAACCATTGTCTTCAGGCCTTATTTGAGCATTTTATGTCTTAAAATCATTTCATGGCTTGGTGGTATGAATGGCTCTATTATACATATTGTATGAGAAGCAGTGAAAAAATAAGGTTAAGCAGCTGACCTCATGATGTATAATGCTGTCCACTGGCAAGACTGAGCTACTCCTTCAAAAGGTGTGCAACAGGTCATTCAGAAAAATAAACATAGTGTCAAACAATATATTTTTTAGCCCAATGTGGATTACTTTAGAAAATGGTCATTGCAACATTACTGTTAAGGAATTTCAGCTTTAGAATAGAACTATTCGATAACATCTGGCTTGGAGCCAGTTATGCATGGGAAATCTTGTAAAATCTCTTTTCATTATTTTTAAATAAATACTTTATCCTTGATTTTCAATTATACTCTTGTCTGATCACTTCTTTGAGGGGTAGTTTCCCCCTCTGAGCTGACCTAATTTGTTTTCATAAACCAGAAACTCAGAGATTCATGTTAGTGTGATGGTCTGTGGATTAAGTGGATTTTGAGATGCCCAAAATTTAAACAACATAAGAAAGGCAATTCACTATAGGAAGGAGTAATGCCTCTGAACCATACCCATAGGAGCACCATTTTATTTATGCTTTGTATTGAATGTAGGGTCACAGATGGAAACATCAAAGGCCAGTAAATTAACCTAATGTACCACTTAACCTTTTGTTTATGATTCCACAGAAGCACAATGAAAATGAAATTAGGAGAACATCAGCAGCAATTAATTAAATTACCAAATGTTACCATAAATATTGTGTCTAATGATGAATCCTCAATAATAAGACAATGCTAAAACTATGCAACTTATTACAGTCTCACAAGCATACCACTAAAAGGACCAGAGGTCTCCTATTCCCCATGAAACCATCAACTGAAATTTTATCTCACTATTTGTTGAAAGCTCATGACAGTGCATATTAAAGGTAAAAACTGGGCTCAAACAGCTTTGCATAGACCGAGAAAAAATTTTTAATGTTTCAATACTTATAGCTGAAAACCTGAAAAAAGTATTAACTAATACAATCACTATGTCATTATAATAAGTTGCTATAATAAAACTAATCAGGTTTAGGTTTAGAGTATATAATTATTAAAGACTCATTTTTTACTTTAGCAATTTATTAGTTGTGGCACCAACAGACATGAACTATTTTAGATAGAATGAATAGTTTGTGGTTTGATGTTCATTGAACAGGCTAGTAACAGTCAAATGGATGATTTTTTTTAGGAGCAATGAAACACGGGTTAAGGACAAAGCAGAATCCATAAGGTTAACATAATAAGAAAAGACATTAAGGTAAATTTAGGTAGAAATAGGTATGTTGGATTAAGAAAAAAGATGCATGACATTCTCTGACCAACTACTGAAATCAGTATACATTTAGGAATGTGCAAATGGCCTCCAGAGGGAAAGCATTACCTTTCTCAGTAGTTTGATGGCTTGGAGGAAGAATTGTTAAAGTCACTGAGCTAGATACTAGAGCCTGAAATTTCAATTCCATTCTACCTTTAGAGTGTGATCAAGTGAGCAGTATACTTGAATCATGCAGCCTGAAGAATGGTGATTGTTAGTGAGACAGTCTTATGGTACAGTATAGGTTAAAATTTTGAGAATTACTTTCCTTATAAAGCAATCACACTGGCTTTATTCAACAAAGGAAGTGTAATGCCTAAGTAACCTTGTCTAATGCATTTGCAGGGTTTTGTGGTTACACCTACTGAATTAGGAATGGTAACATTTACTTGGTTTTGTGGCTATATCCTATAGAATAAAAACTGCACTATATTGTTTTTTAAAAAGATGACTATCTCTAAATCAAGAGACTGTTATTGTGTCCCGGTTCTCAAATGCTTTCATGTAGGAAACAATGATAAAGAACAATACCCATGGAACATACACTGAATGTCCAAAGCACTGAATAAAATGTGTGTCTGGTTAACAATGGCTGAGAAGTATATTATGGTTAAACAATTCAGTAATATATTACTAATATAGCTAATTACATTTTGTATTCTAATTTTTTCTTATTCATTAGCAATCCACGTATTAAAAAAAACAAGTCATAGTCTTCCTTATGTAGATCCTCCCCTATGGGAATTGATGACTAAAATAACTTAATGAAAATAATCAAAGCATTCAGCTTCTACACACTGATGACTAATTCCTTATTAAAATTTTGAAATTCACATGCATTATTATTTAATGGTCAAAGCAAATCACCTCACTAGTGGTATATACATTTGACTCAATGCTGCTAAGCATAATTACCATGGCATATTGCTTTCATTACATTTATGCCAGTTAGTACAGTGTTAAGCAATTTTAAATCCTTTAAGCTCTTTTCTTCTTTTGCTATATGATACCCAGAAAGAAATTTTTAAAATATTACTTGAATTACAAGTTCAGCAATGTCAAAGAGCCTTCTCCTTTTTTAACATTTCAGCATGAATGTGAGAACGTATCCCATGAAAATTTAATTTGAAAACCTATCTTTTAAATTTTGAAAGAAATGCATGGGAATTCTTGACTTATGTCTCATTTCTCTCATTTTGCCAAGTGATAAAGTCCAGCATATTGTACCCCAAGTCATGCATTATTACATAGTGCAGGTTTACAAAACCACTAAATCATACACTGTTATTTGGGGGAAATATCATTATAGTGGCATAGAAACAAGCCACAAACTAGAAGATGTGTAACTGAAATAAGTCAAATACAAGTCTGCCTCGTGAAAGCTTTTCCAAGGCAGAATCAAAATATGTCTAAATGAATATGAAGACTAATTTGATTTGAGGATATGACAGAATGTCCATATTACATGGCAAGATAGGCAATTCAACTTTTTGCAAACATCTATCAATTCACTGATGAAACCAAAGCCTCAGCATGTACAGGTTACAAGCAACTTCCATCCTCAAAACAAACCATATGTTTAGAATCGCCTTTACATTACATAATAGGATATTCGATGAGATCATTCAAAAACTCTAGAAATTTTAGAGACTTTAAGTACAGAAACTTAGTTCCTTCTATAGCTTTTAGATATGTTGAAATTAAATTGTTGTTTCATTGCATATAATTAAGTGATAAAAAGATGGAAATAGAAAACCCTGAAAAATGGACGATATTACCAAAGATATTTAAATGTGTTGAGTTTCTGAAATAGTCTGGTAAAAGAGGCTTTGCTTATATTTGATATTGGAAGCCCTAAATTACAGGACGCTTTTTCTTTATTTCCTATATAGTAGCATAGTAATATTTCTCTGGGTCTTTATCTAGTGTAGATCCCAATTTTCTGATTGTAATGAACCACTGAAGTTAGATTTGAACTTCTGTACTCTGATTTGGTTAGTGTATTGCTATTCAGCTTAAATTGAAATGCAAAACAATGCTCTTACTTACATTTCAAAAAGTGGTTGAGCAAAAGGATTCAGAGAATTAGAAAAAGTGGTGATGTAGGCAAGAGATAAGATTGGTTTGCTTTGTTTACAGAGGTAGCGAAGCTTGCTGGGATGTCCCTCACTCAAGCACTGTGTCTTTCCCTTGCTGTCCTTCTTTCCAATAACATAACCTAAACTGTTCCAGAGATAACTATAAAACTCTGAAGCCAGGTGGATGTTCCTATTCTTACGCGACATTTCAGACTATGGCAGCAAGTCTACTTAGGAGGCTGTGTGATTAGAAAAAATGAAAATTGGAGAATTTTCTTTCACTAACCTTAATTCTTGTCTGTTTCACATAGGTGCGTGCTAGTGCAATCGCCCAAGATGCTGATCAGAATTATGACTATGCCAGTAACAGTGTGGTTCTTCATCTGGAACCAGGAGATGAAGTCTATATCAAATTAGATGGTGGGAAAGCCCATGGAGGAAACAACAACAAATACAGCACATTTTCTGGATTTATCATTTATGCTGACTGATAATGCAGAAACTAAGCTTATTATTCTGAGTCTGAACACTGGATTCGTATGGCTAACGTCAGTGAATGAAGGATCCCAGGGGATGCACCTCAGTTGTGTATATGTGGGGAAATCAAATGCTACCTGACTCACATCTGTATCACTCAAAAACATTATGTAAAAAAAAACCATATTTAAAGCAAGATAAGCAGATGTGTGATCCACTACCGCCAAAGCAAATACTCCTTATTGTTAGTGTCCATGTGAATGAAGTCCTATATAGATCACAAATTTTTATAGAAAAATCTAAGACACTAAATTATTTCTTCAATATATATGATACTTTGGTGTACTGTGATCTTGCTGCTTTTATCTATGTGTCAGCTTTGGTTCTTGTGAGTTTACCTGCTTATTATGATACTTGGAGTTCATTCATAGTGTGGGGAAGAATCAGTTTACCCTGCAGGAGAAGGTCTAATTGAAGTAATACTGCTTGTCCCCAAAGAAATTGTTTGCCTTGTACTCTTGTTAACTTTAGAGCTAGACCTGGGAATGATTCAACTTCAAGCCTTAACCTAGAATTTTCTGAATCTGTGGGAATTCCCAAGCCTATGATCATTTTCACATTTTTCTTTTCTTACGAATTTTTTTCCTCTTTTCTAGTGATAGTTATTAACAATTAGAGTTTGAAATTGTATCATAGGATTACTCTCTAAGTGTGAAACTGTGTAATTATGTGTGGTACTTAGAAAATCCCATATGTGTCCATTTGTCAATAGAATACATTTAGATTTACTTGGAAAGTCAGAGAAATTTATTCTTTGGTATTAAATCAGACTGAGGCTTCTGCCTTCTTTGGGAACAAAAGATTATTCATAACCCAATGCACAAAGGTTGAATTTGAGCTACTGCATGCATCACCAAGGGAACACTAAGTAAGGCCTTCAAACAGTTACTACAAATCTGTGGCCTGAGCTTATCTCAAAATTCACATATGACCAGGATGACAACAGTGTATATATTTTATATAAATAACCACCACACACATATTTATATACATATACATGTATATGTTAGATGAAACATTATATACTTATGGCTTCAGTCCCTGATGGACAGTGGCTGTAGAGCTTCAAAAATTTAATTTAAAAGTTTATGTGTATACACACACAGAGACACGTGTAAATTACTGGACTTATTTTGGATCGAAATATATTTTAGGTGACAAAAATATATGGAGTAGAGAAATAATTAATGTGACTTCTCTTTAAGAGTTATCCAGAAAATTAAATCTTAGGTTAAAGTATCCTACACTTCACATATATGAGTTAAGCCTATGGCTGTTTTTATTACCATATGCCAATCGATACTTGCACTGCATTCTCTGGCAGATTGTTAACATCAGGACGGCAGCAACAAAGTGGCTCTCCTTCACAATGTTTATGAATTATATGCATCTGAGTTATCAATTTTTCTTTTTCTCAGGTGAATGCAAGTGGACAGTATGTTTTGGAAGGAATGCAAACCCTTTCTCTGTAGTTAAAATACACTGCCAAACGCCATCTATTTCATCTAAGATTAAAATGCATGTTGATACATTCTAATTATCACACAATTTCCATTATTACAATGAAAAAAATCTGTTTTCTTTTCACTCGCCTTTGAAGATTCTTTGACAAGTAAATTTCAAAAACAGATTTAAAAATCTGCTTGTTTTACTGGTGAAGGACATTTGCATTTTTTCACTTAAAGGAACTGGTTTGTTCTCATGGCTCATTCCTCTTTGGTACTTTTTGTTCAAATACACAGAACGCTTGATCATTTTGATCAGCTAAAATATCTTGAATTTAGTCAACTTCAACTTTCCAAGAGTTGTGCATGGTGTTCTCATTTGAAGGTAGGGTTTGCTGTGTTTAAGTGCTTTGGACTGAGTAACTGTCATGATTTACATGATTAAAAACACTTGGCCCATTCATCAAGCATAATGACAAATTCTCTTTGGCCTTTCTGATATGTATGATAACTCATAAATGAATTTTTTTCTTTAATATATATTTATTAAAGAGGAATTGGCAGCAACAGATTGGTGATTCATTGTAAGAAACAGCAGAGTAATAATTCAGTCAAAATACTAATTTATAAACAGCAGTGCAGATCAATTAAGAGTTTGAACTAACAATTTTTAAAAAGGGTTTATTTACATAAAATATCAGGCCTGGACACCTTTTAAAGAGAAGGCTTTAGAATCACACTGTCATTTCCAATAGATCTGACCTTTTCTTTAGATATATAAGAATTATTTTCTCTGTTTAGGTCCAAGGAAAAACAAATAAAAGATAAAGGAAAAAAAGGGAATATATATAAGGCAAACATTTCTCTTTTTTGCATTATATCTTATGAATTAAATTGTGGCCTTTGTTATTATAAATGTAATGATTCATTAAACTATATTATGTAATATATTCTGACTTTTATGATTGAATTTTTATAATTCATGCTGTTACACATTCTTATATAAACTTTGCAAAACACAACAAAATTTATAGCAAAAAACAAAACAAAACGGAACCCCCCCCAAGCCCCCCAAAACAAACAAAAGGATACCAAAAAGCCAAAGGTATCCAAACTGATTTATTACAGATAGGTGGATAACATACAGTTCACATTCTAAAGCACTTTTATGGTTGTGAGTTGGTAATTATATTACAGTATCCTTTGGATTAAAAAACTCTCAAAATTTAACTTCCCTTGAAGCAAAAGCTATTTAAAAGTGCCATATTATTCATTAAGCATTAATTAAAGAACAGCAGGATAATTAGTAGGATCATCAATATTACAAGAAACATTAGATTGCTCCAGAAGGGGGCAATTTAACCAGAAATACTTTAGATTTTCTCAAGCAGTATAGCTGATAGATGAGGAAAAAACCCTAAAGCTCTTAGGGTATACAGACTTTAAATCATTCTTTGGAAATAAGGATTTTTTCTGTATTTATTTTAAAGCAAAACAATAGGACTCATTTAAGCTCTGCAGCTTCCCACAGGTGCAAATAGCCCGTTACAGAGAAGGCAAACTCTTCTCATGGGAAGGAAACAATCAGTCATTGCATCCTATGTAGATCTGATTAATACTGCACAGTGGGGTTGAAATCACTAAGGTTTTCTCCAAGTTTTATAATCAAGGTGCCAATTCTTAAGCAACCATCTTACTTGAAAGTGAGCCATCGCTTAGGGTTTTCTATTAGTATCTTATCAAGGGCACTCTCAGTTATACCTCTAAATAACATTTTAGGAACAATGTTGGTGAGTATATGAGAATAGCCATGACCTCCATATTTCATCAGACGATGCTTTGTGTGTATGTCATGGGCTATCAGAATTCGATCTTCGTAGCCTTCATCCACCAGGAGACACACCCTGTGAAAATATTAACTCATTAGATGCCATTTGTCTCATGTTAGAATTTTGAGTGCTTTAAACTTGGTATTCATCAACCTGTCATGTTTGTCCAAAGGATACTGCCTTGCACGGTGGCACGTGTACCCAGAGACCCTTAATAAATGCTGTGCGGTGATGATAAAGATATTGCTGCCTCCTAGGAGAAATGAGATCCTTATTCCATGCACACAGAAATTTCCAGCCTGGGATATTTATGACAATGCTTGACAATGCTGCATTAAAGATAGCTTCTAATAGGATCTGCCAGCTCAAATGAATGACCACTTTAGCATTTCACTCAGTAGCTTGGTTCTGGTTTTGTATTCAGCTGTTCTCTTTCAAATGTCGGTCTTAGTAGGCCCAGTTTCTCTTTTTGTCTAGCACATAAAATCATTGGGTATTTGTGACTAAAATATGGAAACAAAAGGAATCTTCATACAGATAGGGCCCTTAGAGTAAATCAGTTGATTTGCAATTGAGGGCCATACACAGTCAGTGAGGTTTGCTTGACAAAAGCAACTCTGTATTTTGAGCATTTATTTTTTTGAAATCTATGGGAATTTTGACTTAGTAGTAGTATCTGAATATTGGATTAAATTGAGCAAAGAAAACAAACAAACCAAACCAAACCATTATTCTGTCTTCCTTTCCTGTCAGCAAGATTGTTAAAATACTAATATATTCCTTTAAATTTATAGTCAGTTGACTAAAGAACAGGGCTTCCTGACAATTGTCTAAAAATGTAATCCTCTTTGCTTGGTTAAATGCAGTAATCTGTAGAGTGAGTCACCTCCCGACAGCCACCATCTGTATATGTCTGTACTCTGGGCAGCGTCTTTCCTGGCTTCCAAGGGTCTCTGATAGCAGAAGTGCAACTGGGTGACACGGCACATCCTTGGGATTCTCACACAGCCCTGCGAGTCCCACATGGATAGAAGAATTGACAGCGCCTTCCTCCAGGGCCTGATTATTTGAAGGTATCATTTTTGTTTCCATAGATAGCATTCCTTGGGGTTCTGTGCCATGAGTTCTATTTAACAACTACTATGCTAAGTAAGATGTGTGACACAACACACATACACACATACACACACACACACACACACACACACACACACACAAACCTCACGCATAAAGCCCTGGCCTCTGAGAATATACATTTAAAATAAATTATAATTTAAGATTAGACATGAAATTTGCAGCTCGAAGGGGTGTGAGTGCCAGAATAGAAGAGCCAGCCTGGACATTTTCTCTAGAAATCAGCCTGCCATGTGAACTTCATGCCTGGAATTCCATTTCATCCTGATATTTTCTGAGCATTTCCCAAAGTTTTAAATACCCTTTCTTTATCTGAAAATTGTGATAGCTCCTTACCATGAAGGCACAGGTATGAATAAACAAATTCCAGCAAGATGCCTTTTGCCACACCTTGAAACATAAAGTTATCAAATCGGGAAGTGGTAAAGAAGGTGTATGGTGAATAAGACACACTTATTTATAAATGAAACTTTTAGAACTCCTAAAGTCAAAGATGAGGAGATTGTCTCATGAACAAGATAAGGCTGGAGCTCTAGAAACACAGTTCCATTCTGACTACCAAGGAAATCTGCCTAGTCATGCCATAATGAAGAGATCATTTCACATGTTTCTGCTATTACGTGGAAGAACAGGAGTTATGGAGATGCTGCCAGAAGGGAGGAACCACTACAGATGAGAAGACAAAAAATTACAGTAATTATAGCAATACAAATGAGTTAGTGTTTTGCAAACAAATATTAGAGAGAGACTACAAAGTGTGAAAAGGCAGAGATATAATAAGATTTGAGAAATGGAGCATAAGATTGAAAACAGGTGTTAGACACAGAATTTCTGGTGCCGAAAACCAGAGGTAGGCAGAAGCGTGCTTCTTCTGTGTTCTGAAATTTCAGTGCATTCAGACTACTATGGCTAAAAAAGGATTGCAGGTCAATGATAAATCCAAGTGCTCGTGACATGGGGGATCGAGCTAGTGGATCAGACACAATCAAAAGGGTTATTCAGCTATTAACATGAAACGGTCAGGTGTCATGGCACACACCTGTAATCCCAGCATTTGGAAGACTGAGGAAGGAGAATGAGAGTTCAAAGCCATTCTGGGCTACAAAGAAAGTTCAAGAGCATAGTGAGACCCTGTCTGAAAAAAAACATCTAATAAAAAAACAAAAAACAATATGAGCTACGCTTGGGTAAGATAATTCAATGGCATGGTTTTAATTTATGAAACATTAAACTCATATACATATACATACATGCACCTATACACTAAGTAGCACACACACACATATATATATATACATTTATATATCTATTTTTATATAAAATTTTAATATATTTTCATACATTCAGAATGTTGACACTTAGCATGATAAAAGAATCAAAGTTAAATTCTTATTCTTGAACTAATACTTAAAAGGATCTAAGCAGGCATGAATGGGAAGTCTTTGATTCTTTTTTATATCTCCATAGGTTTCCTTTTTAAAATTTCATGTCTCTTGTTTCAGAAGGTCTGGAAACCTCATGGAAGGATTAGGAGTGCAAAGCACACACCTCACTGCCTCAGAGTGGCTTAGAAAAAGGAGACAGATCCTGAAGGCAAACTTTCCATGTCCAAGATGAACTGTAAAATATGTTGAGGGCATTCGTCATGAAGTCATGTTTGTGTCTTGTTATATTGTAGTCGTCTTGGAGCAAAGAATATTCACCTCTTGAGAAGGGCCCCAGGGAAACCTACTGGCCTGCATTCATAGTGCTCCTGAGCAAACAAATTAAAATCATAAAACAAATGAAACAATAAATCTATTTGCCAAAGTACTAGTGTAAGTGTTAAAAAACCAAAGACCTAGCTTCAGTGGTTAAGTCACAGCAGTTTACCGACAGAGTGGCTCCCCCTTACATAACGAGTGTAACATTTAGAAACAGGTACTAAACTTCAGGCATATTACTATTACTGAGGTCATTCAGGAAGACACTGCTACTGGCTCGGCATCTTTCTCTCTTCCCCAGTGTGTGTCTGTTTAATCACCTGTAACTTCAGTCTCTTGGCCTCTAGACATTATTTCTCGATTACAGTTTTGTTTATTTCCATTCTAATTTGTTTTCCACCCTTATAACCATTTTATAGACCTTAAAATCATGGGGAAGTGCTTTTTATCTGAAATCTCAAATTTCGTTTCCCCACTCCAATCCCACGGCCTCTTTCTGCTTTTTTGACTCACTCATGCATCTGTTCATCCACTTCACGAAGGCCTCTGGTATTTCCCCTGTGATGCCATTCCTGTTTGTCTCCTTGCTTCTCTCTCTACCTGCTTTCCTCCAGCTTAGACTCCACGGCTCCCATCTCTTTGCCTATCTGTCCCCGTGGTTATCACCCACATTTCTCCAACAGAATCTCAAGCCAACAGCTCTAACTGTTCACACTTTCCGCTTCTACTCACAAACTTCTCTAGTCCTGCTACCAAAACCCAAATATCTTTTTAAAAAATCACCGAATCACGCTCACTGCTAGCAACACACAGTCAGGCAGTTATGATCTCCAGCCTCATCGGGGTCTCACACACATTGCCTTTAGTGTCTCTCTCATTCACCCACCAGCGATGCCAAGACTTCCTTCCCCTTTACAAGGTGCTGCCCTGAATCTACTCGCCCTTTCTCAGGAGGTGACTATGTCTATCTCACAGAGACACTCCAGAAAGCATTGTTATTGGTCTCAGTTTCCTGTTCCTCTGACTAATAACTTATCTGTGTTTATATCATCGCTTCCTTTGTGCTCTCATTTCTATGGAGGAAAAAATCCTTTCAACCAACTTTCTATTTGCTACCCAGATTCCATGTGTTTGTCCCCTGAGAATCCTATCTGTATACTTCTTATCTCTCCAGGCTTTTTAAAGTCAGTATCTATTGGACACTTCTACTGCACCAGATGCTCAGATATAAAAAAAAAAACACTTTGCATATACATCATTTCACACACCTTCTATCACAACCTTTGTGGAATGGCATTCCTTCCCTGGATCCATTTCATTTCTATTTCTCTTCTTTTCCTCATAGCCACAGAAATTGCTCAACTCTCAATAAAAGTTTCTCTTGATCCTATATTTCCAGTTTCGGCCTCATCTACCAGCTTGCCTTTGTTAGCACACTTTTTGAAAGAGTAACCACCAGTCTTTCACCTCTTCCTCTCCTTTGACACATTTCTTGAGCTGTTTCTACTGAGACCCACACTTACTAAATGCAAAGGAGACCCATCTAACTGTGAAATCCAATGGTTGCTTTTCTGTCCTGTTCTCACTTGATATTCCAAGTCATTCTACCAAAGCCTGGAAGCTCTCCACAGCTTCCATAAGAAAATCATTCCATGATTTCACTGGTTTGCGAACTTCTTTACCATTCCCTGGATGGTTCTTCCTATGTTTCAGGGTTTGCTCTAATCTTTCTCTCTGAGTAATCGCTTCCATCCCCATGTCTTGAGCTATCACCGATAATATCCAGACTTACTTTTCATCCTGAATTTCCGCTCTGAGCTTCATATCCTTACCACAGGGCCCACTGGATAGCAACGCTTAGATACTCTTGATGTTTCTCTGGTCAATGCCAAATCTGTTTTACCCCCTAGATACCCTATCTTGGTTTTATTCAATCTTTATAATACCATGCTATCAAGATGTACCCCAGTAGTCACCCTTGGCTTCGGAAATTTTCTACTTGCTTGCAAAGAATGAATCATACAATTGTATGTGTGATGAAACATTAGACAGGAGATTACATCTGTATGGTATTGGGTGTTCAGGCACTGCACTACTAGCACTTAAATTATAATCACCCCTTAATGAAAATTTAAATGAAGCATTTCACATAATCACAGGAAAGTATGACTTTAGTGTGGTCAGCCTGGGAGAGAATCAGCTTTTTTCATTAGGAGTAAAGGAGGAAAATGTCTTTTGTTCTCTTCCTGTCGTGGCAGGGGCTGAGCATTATCTGTTTCTTGTCAGTTGCCCATCTGCACTGAACTTCTAAGGCTCTGCTAAGCTTTAGCCTACTTAGGATGACTCATTTTCTCCTTGAAATAATATGTAGAGATTTTCTCCCTGAAACAGCTCAGATATACTTTTCTCTGCAATTCTGTGCTTCAGCCTGCTCACTGTTTTCTGAATCTTTGCCAATACTCACCCAGGTATATGACAATCAAAAAGGGATGGTAGAAGACAATGCTATGAGAGATGTAACCATATTTACCTTCTAATTCTTTTGTTATCATCGGGCATATCAATATCTCGGTTGAACTGGTAATTAAGAAATTCAGTACCAAAGAGATCATATTCCAAGTAGCAGCCAAGTTGAGCAAACTCCAGCAGCTCCTTCTTATGAACTATAGTCCTAGAGAAAATAAGACAGGCAGGTGCTTATTATTAAGAGTGTATTTCCCACATGTATAGATGAAAACTTAGTATGCTATGTATTAGGACATAGCTTAAATCAAATAAAATAACTTCTGGGGTAGCTCTTATGATGTGACTATAAAACAGTAAGTTCAGTTTGTTACCAGAAGCAAGACAATATATCCATCTAAAAGGGAACTTTCCCTTGAACTTGGAACTAGGTTTATTTTAATTATGCTACCATTACTCAAAAATAATTTTGTAACTCTTCTTCAGAATTGTCTTTAGGTTATGTCCCATATTTCTCTGAAAATCCTTAATGGATTCGATTTTACCCTTTAAGGATTGCTGTGAACTATGGAACCTATCAAAATAAATTTGGCATCCGATCTATAAATTAGATGAGTAATACTGCTCTCGGTGAACAGGAAGGTTTTACTGTAATGTAGCAGGATGATTTTCTTATGAAGATTATAAAGTAGTTTGAAAATTAATTCAAAAGCCTTGTAGAAATATCATTCCAACTTTTTTTTTAAAAGGACAACACTCATACAAATATATATGTTTTGGTGTCTGTCTTTTAAAATGAAATTTATTATTTTATGGTAAATTCATGGGTGTCTTTTCATTTCAATAGGTATTATATTAGGTATATCATTATTTTAGAATGTAATTGTGGATGTAAATGAATGGGAAAAATGGAAAATGTAAGATGCGTACAGGTTACAGATGAGCACAGAGTGCAGAGCAAAAGTAGGTAAAAATTCAGGCTGGGCATGGTGGTGCTCACCTATAAACCCAGCACTTGGGAGACTGAGGTAGGAGGATCATTATGAGTTCAAGTCCAGCCTGGGCTACAAAGTAAGTTCAAGGCCAGCCTGAACTGCATACTGAAATCCTGTCTTGAAAAAAAAAAATAGATGAAAATTCATCAAGAAATTTGGATTATAACAGTTAAAGAAGAAATCACTAAGGTAACCCCAAAATATCACTGCAGATATTCAATCACATAGATAGATAAGAAACAATTAAAATGTCCTAGCAACATGGAAAAAATGAAAAGAAAGGTATTAATAAGGAGAACCAAGGATACAGACAGAAAGTGACTGGGATCCAAAATTGAAATGGAGAAGAGTTCAGAATATCAGATGACCATTGTCTTGTCAGGCTTTTATCCATGCTGCTATTTTTCATTTTGGTAACTCAGCACGCAAGGTTCAAAGAATTGTTATATGTCTATAAATCTGCTTCTGAAAAGTCAGAAGTATTTTCAAAGCGGTTCTTCCAAACCATGGGAGGACCAATTAAGAGTCCGTGTGTCACAGGTGTGAGAGGTTGTGCTTCACTGGGACACTTCTTGGAGCTGACTATTGACTTTCACTTTGAGCTATTGTTATTACGGCTGGCTTTCTTTTTCTACGTACTAGTTGAGCATAACTTGTAGTCTACAATATTGTTTTAGGCAGAGTGGCTAAAAACATCTTTTCTTTATACTCCAAAATGTGCATTAGCTCTATAGTGTCTTCTATTAATACTACTCCTATCCCAGCTTCTTACCATGGAGACCATCTTCAGCTTCCAAAATTGCTGGGCTAAAAGAATGCAGGTCTTACTGTAGTAAACACATTCTGTTATCCCCTAAAGGATCATGCTTAGTAACAAACTATATACAATTAAAATAACACAAGTACATTACACTTATTTTACTTAATATGTTCAATAATTCTATCAGCTCTCAATTTCACCAACGAAGAAATCAGAACTTGAGAGACAAGATACTCAAAATGATACACTTTCATTTCAAGGTTGGAACCTCTCTTAAACATCATACTGTGCAATCATACTGTATTGCTAAAATTTCTCAGAATTACATAGGTTGAATATGTACATAGTGTATTTTAGTTTTTACTTCAAAATTTGATTCCCTGTCCACAGTACCCTCAAACCATACTTCAAATATTTGAGATTTACCACCAAAGGATAGTATTCAAGTAAGGCATTGAATAGGCCAGAAAGGCAAGAAATTATTACCCTGTAGAGGTCTTCAATTGCCAGCTCAGAGTGAAACTACATATAAAAAGTAAGAGCAAACCTCTACAACAGTTTTGGACAAACTGAACAACATGGTCAAAGGAAAAGGAACTATATTAGTCATAACATTAGTTACTTTATGCCACATTGCTTTAAGTTTCTTATAAAGAATAAAGTGTACAACATACCTGTCACCAGATTAGATTGGCTGCCTGCTCTAGATCTCTACTGGATGTCAAATAGCTCAAGCTTAATATATGTCCTATTTTGCACCCTTCATTCAAGATCCAAATTGTTTGCTCCAACACACTTTACTATCTCAATTGATGGCAACTGTGTTATGGGATGAGCATGTGATCCTAAAAAAATCCCTGGTTTTAAGGCTTGGTCACCATCCCATGGGACTACCCAGAGCACCTTGAAGACATGAGGCCTAGTGGGAGGTCTTTTAGTCACTCAGTGTGTCCTTGAAGTATATATTGAGACTCCAATTTCCTTCCGCCCCTTTCATCATCTAATCATGAAGTGAACAAGTTTGCTCTTCCCTGATGCGCCCCTCCCCCAACCTGACCAGAAGATTAACAGCAGTACACCCACAGGATCATGTACTGGACCTCCCAAACTATGAGCCAAAATAACCTTTTCTCTTTACAAGTTGATTCCTCTCAGGCATTTGCTACAGCAATGGAAAGTGGCCTAAAATAAACTATTCTAGCTGCTCACACCAAAATCCTTGTGGTCCTTCTTGTTCCCTTTTCTCCTCTTACATGCTACGTTTAATCCACTGCAAAAGGCTCACCCTTCACATTGCTGCCTTCCTGATCTACATCACTACAGTTTCATGAAGGATCCCTGCAAGATTCCCAACTGCTCCATCAGCTTTTCCTTTGTTCTCTTAAACAAAGCAACGAATGTGTCATCCCCTCACCCAAGTCAGATCAAAGCCCACTAATGACACCTCATTTCCTTCAGAATATTAGCTTTTAGGATATTAGCTTCAGAATATTAGCTTTTAGGACTGGAATAAAATGCCTCACACATGCAGTTTAAAGGAGGAAATGGATTATTTCAGGTTCATAGTTTCAGACCCTGGTCAGTTGGTTTCACAGAAGAAATATCATGGTAGAAGGGCATAGTGACAGAAAGCTGCTCATTTTGTGGCAGTTGGAAGCAGAGAGATAGAGAAAAGCCAGATCAAGAGATCCATCTCCAGAGGCTCTGTCTTCAGTGATCCACTTCCTTCAACTGGACCCCACCTCCTATCCATAGATGAGTAGAGTACCCCATAATCCATTCACTTTCTGAAAGCCTCACCTGGCCACATACAACTTTGGGGGAACATTTGAAATCTAAACATAAGATCCCTGTTGTCTTTCATTGTGGTCTCATGAAAGTCTCATTAAAAGTGAGTAAAAGTTCTCCACAAGGGGGCTATAAATGTTGTCTGAAGAATTTTACCATAGAGAGAGATTTGCTTCTAGAGGAAGACTAATACTGTCTAACAAGATTCATTTACACATATAAGTTCTAAAAGTAGTCCCGTGAATTCTTACCTTATAGAAAAACATATGGAAAGGACTGTGACTGTGAGAACTGGTAAATTCTGTAAAACATGCTTTAAAAATTTATAGTCATATGTAGAGCAGAACGTTCCTTTATAAGGAAAGCAATTAAGTTGATACTCGGCATTAAAGTGTAGTTGAAAAGGAGGGATAGAGAAATTCACTTTCATTAATATATATGAGAAGGTATGATAAAAATATGGTTTTACATGATATGTGTATGCATCAATTCTCTAGAATGAATATAATTATGAATTACAAACATATACTACTAATAAAGAGTTTCAGAAAATATTGCATTAAAGGCACATTGCCACTAATCCTCCTCAAGACACCCCTTGTTCCAAACACACTTATCTCACTGTTCATGCCATTTTCTGAAGCAGTTTCAGAAATTCTCTTTCATGAGCCTTTTTATGCTATCTGTCAAGTGCCGTTCAACAGAAAGGCAGCCTCATAAATGTTTTTAATTGACTCAAGACATCAAGATAGTCACAACAGTGCAAATCAAAAAGACATTCAAGAAAGAGGACTTCCACAACTGCTTCAGAAAGTGGCAAGAATGAAGGGATAAGTGTGTTTGAGGTGAGGGCAGTATCCTGAGAAGGATTAATTACAATCTACATTTTACTGTTTTTCAAAAATTTAAATTTAACTTTTAAATTAAAGTTAAAATTAATTTTTGTTTATGCCTCATGTGTATATGTAGTTTTTATTTGTTTTACTGACATCTAGTGATAGGACCCTCTTTTCTGAAAAGCTAAGCATTAATATGAAGCCAATTAAATGAACTTCTATAAATTCTGCTTATTGAAAAAACACAGTGTGACATGCAAGAGGAGTAAACAGTGTTACTGACCATGCACACTTTTCAAAGGGAAGACTTCAAAAAGGAATTTGGTATTCTATCTTAGTGGAAGGTAGGGTGGAAGATATAGATGCTGCCCCCCAAAATCAACATTTAACAACTTCAGTTCTTTTAATCCTTATTAAAATTACATGAAAAGATTATGAATATCACCACTTTACAGATGAGAAAACTAAGTTTCAAAAATGTAAGTAACTCAGCTTCTGAACTAAGGAGTTCTGAAGAAGTGCAGACTGCTTTTGTGTTCAGAAACCATGTTCTTAAACAAATTCCTTCCGTGGTGAGAAATTCACGCACCAGCACAATACCATTCCACCTTGCTGGCTTTTACTGTATGAAGAAACACACACTACCGCAATGACATGTAGGAGACAGCTCTATGAATGTCTACCAAGGTGACTTAGTTACATAAAATTGACATTCTGTTTGGATGACTTCCACAGACTGCCAACATACTACTGAAATTTCATTTATGCAAGTGTTTTTTTTTTCTCATTTGGAGAAAGGTTTGACCCCAAATGTCAGTATGGTACCCTAGGAAAAAGGACATCAGATGAGGATTAGCAGAGGTCTTCCTCCCATCCTCAGGCCTCCATGGCCTCATCACCCATCTCATTAAAGTGGATGTGCTAACCTCTCCTAATCTTCATGTCATATGCTATGCCCATGAATAATTCTCTTCTTTGCTGAGTCTGATGTTCCCCAGGTTTAAGATAGGTCTTTTTCACAACATGCTCTAAAGAGTTAGGTAATTGTGTTATGCAGCACAACCACTGCATTTCACACTAAGGAAAGTCCATTTTTCAGGGTGAAGGAAACAATTGCGGTGTCATTTATGAAATATTTTGAGATTTTCCCAGCAGGAAGGTGAGATTTTTGTATTTGTTCTTAACATTCACATGATATAATTTCTTCTGCTGCATATTTTATACTTTTATCCTCAACTAAAAAATTGACATTATATAGAATATACATAATGAATTGATATGCCTATATAAGGAACAGATGTAAATTTAGGGAAAACATATTGCCATCAGACTAGAAAATGGCATCTGAAGTGATTTCATCTTAAAAATATTCTTATCATTTACCTAGTGTTTCAAGGCTGAAAATAAAATGCAAGACAGCTGATTCTGTTTTTCAACACTCTTTATATTCTAGATCTTATCCATGTGCTGAGGGGTTTGGTTTAATGTCAGAATGTACTCTGAGTAGAAGTAAGACAGTCTTTATGAACTGATAATTTAGACAAGGATCTTTGGGCTTTCTATGTAGAAAGGACTAAAAGGAGAGGAAAGGACATGATTCGTTGGTACGATGAAGATGATAAAAATATCTACCATTTATTTTTATATTTACAAAAGAACCCTCACATACATTATTTCATGCCATAAACTTAAGTGTACCTTCATAAATATATTTAGCAAACATCTGCTGTCATTTCTTGTGCTATCCTCTGTGTTGGTAATGCAAATATAAATGACAAACTATAGCTCCTATCTCAGGAAACATAATGTTATTAAGAGAGATACTTAAATTAATGATTATAGTTAAATTTGTTAAAAGGTTCTATAGTAGCAAAATAGTACAAATAAGTAAACATATTATGAAAGAACAATGAGCGAGTGATTTAGTTGAACTGAGTCTTAAAGAATCCAACTCACAGAAATGTGGGGTGAAGTTTGGATAGTTTAGATAGCTATCTAGTGAGAGTCAAAAAAAGAGCTTGCTATTCTAGAATACAAAGTTGCAGCTTATCAGAGGCAAAGTACATGAAATAAGAAACATAGCCCATCCATCCACTCATCTATCCATCCATCCATCCATCAATCCATTTGATAAAATATTGTTGGTCTCCTACTTACTATGAAGAAGGAGCTGGAAAACAAAGACCAATAAAACACAGTTCCATCCTTTATGAAGTTTAGTATGTACTTGGGAAAAGAGATATAGAAACAAACAATTGTCATAGAGAATTTACAACTAGGAACTGGGTTGGCAGAGATAGAAATATAACAAATACTGGTTGTTTGAGAGAAGGTTTTATAGGGAAGAAAACCTCTGGATCACTGTATGTTGCAGAAAGACTCTGCTAAATAAACATAAAGTAGAGGATTAGGACATTCATAGCAGCCAGACTAGCAACTGTGAAAAGAATATTAGCACAGGACATATAAAGACAAGGACAATGTGGCTTTTGTCCAGACTCTGTGTGGTTACAGGAGAATAATGGGCAGTTTGGTGGAGAGAGTCAAGGCCAGAAGACCAAGATGTTTGGATTTTGTGTCTAGGGCTCAGAGGAGCCACTGAAAGGTTTTTAATCAAGTGACAGGCATGCAATCAGATTTGCATTTAGAAAATTCAATACTGTGGAGGCTGGATTCTGGAGGAAGGCTAAGGGAGTGAGTGTCCTTTTAGAATGTTACAGAAGATCAAGGGACAAAAGAGGGCCTGAATTCAGGTGATTACAGATGTGTGGATAGGAAAGGCTTAGTGAGATGGACAGGTTTCATCAGAAGAGTGCAGGGGAAGGAGGAATCTAGGCTTAATGTGGGGTGAGCAGTACCATCAGTGAGCAGAATAGGCAAAGCACTAGCAGGAGGAGTCACTGATGAGGCACTGTCAGTGATGGAGGAAAACACTCAAGAGTAAGTCTCGGGCAATGGATTGGTCGATTAAACAATACCAGGAACACAAAGAGAGCAGGTTCTTAAACAATAAACTGGTGAAATAGTCTCGCCACTTATTAATGTTACTGAATACATAAAAAGACACTAGCGCATGGAGTTCCTAAGTGACCCACAGCCTGAGTATTCCAACCCTTAGTCTTTGATTACTCTGCATTGTGACATTATTTTAGTTCATTAGCCATTCCCATCTGAATTCCTCAGCCCAGAGACTGGTCCATTTTGGCAACAGTTTTGGCCACTAAGATAGCTAACAGTCTAGCACTTGGAGAAGCGTGGAATATATTCCCTGCTAAAACTTACACCCTAGATCAACTAATTATTTTTAAAAATTGCTATACAAATATAAAAATAAAGAGATACTCATTTATACAACTTATTTACTAAAAGCAGTGAATCTCTCAGTAAGTGGCCATTATAAAAATTGCCTACCAAAAAAAGTAATTCTAAAAAATCATCACTCTCAAAACAAAATCATTACTTTCCCTTACCCACCATTTCTGAATTTAGAACCAATGTCATTTGTACAGATAAAATTGTGTAACATTCTATCATTTTATGAAAGTTTCTCAACAGCTATTTAAAAGACATTGAGTGGCCCTGAGACCATGGCCTGCACAGCCATGTGCTTCCTGCATGACTCCAACCAGCCCTGAGGATACCCATGCCGCTTTGGGACCTTGGCCGGTGCAGCCATGTGCTTCCTGTGTGACTCCTGCTGGCCCTGGGGAATGCATGCTGCCCTTGGACCTTCGGCTGCACAGATGTGCGCTTCCTGCATGACTCCAGCTGGCACTGAGGAATGCCATGCTGACCTGGGACCTTGGCTCATGCCCGGGCCAAGGACATCTGCTGGCCCCTCGGGGACACTCCCTACCTCCTGGACATAATACTGCTGTTGATCTTCAGCACCCACCCTTTCTCCCAGAACCTTGGACTACAGAGGATTAACTGTGTGGCTTGAAGGGAGATTCAGTAACTGCCTCACACAAACATATGATCTCAACAGGCTCCAGTCAGTGTGGTGAGTATGCCCCTGAAATAGAGGCATAAGTGGGTAAATAGGACCTGTAGTAAGGCTTCCTCTGACTAATTGTAAGATCTTGGTGAATCTGAGAAGAGTGTGGGTGACTCCTAGCTGCACACAGAAAACATTAGGCAGGATGAGGAGTGTGCCAATAAGGACTCCCCCCAACATGGAGAAAATCAAAAGGGCTCATGAGACACACAGGCACACAGTAGGGACACAGGAGGGCCTCAGCTAAAGTAAACATTATAGACATGGAGATTTGGTGACCTGGAATAACCTGAAGATAAAATAATAGCAGGAACTAAAAGTTGACCTACAAAACTCAGGAAGAATACAGGACTCATCCAACAGGCCCTGCAGTGGGAAGACAACTGACTGGCTCATCTATTCATTGTGGGACCCAGCAATTGGACAAACATCAACCTTACATTAGGACCTCAAGATACACACTACCAACAGTTGACACAAGTGGGATTGAAGGACCAAATATTAACTCAGAAAGGGAAAATGGCAAAATGAAAAAGCAAAATGCAATTTCAAACATCTAGTCCACCAGGAGCAAGTACAGGAGACATTGAAATAGAGGATTTCAAAAGTAACACCGTGGGAATCTCTGGAAAGATAATAAGTGAAATAAAAAAATCAATGAGGCTATAGAGGAAATCAAATTAGAAGTACCCTCCCATGAAAGATAGAAATAACAACCTTGGTAAAGGAGTTGCTGAGCACAGCTAAAGAAGAAATAGAGAAAACGTACAGGAACATGAGAAACTGATTGAAACCTTGAATGAACAATATAGAAAACAAGCAGAATTCATGAAACAAACTCAAAGACACGTCCAAGAAACAAAAAATTCTATTCAAAGCTGGTAAAACTGTTTAAATGAAGCTGAGGACAGGATTTCAGACCTTGAGGATGGGATCACAATTAGTGATCATGAAAACATAGAACTTTTAAAAATAACAAAGCAGCCTGAAATGACAATCCAGCAGCTTCAAAATAATGCCAAGATAAACAATACAATATTAATAGGCATCAGTGAAAATGTAGGAGGCAATACAAATGACATAACTAAACTATTCACAGAAGTAATAGCAGAAAATTTCCCACACATGGGGAAAAATATGATATGCAGATAAGTGAGGCATATAGAACACCAGTCACAACCAATGTAAACCTACACCCAGACATATAATAATTAAGATCCCAGACATGCAGCATAAAAAGAGAATACTAAAAGCTGTTAGAAAAGACACAACTCACCTATCAAACAAAGCCCATTAGAATCATAGTACATTTTTTAGCACGAACTCTCAAGTCAAGACAAGCTTGGAGTGAGGTATTTCAAGCCCTGAAAAAACACAACTTTTAACCCAAACTGATACACTCAGAAAATCTTTCATTCAAATTTAGTGGAGAAACAAGACAATTCCATGACAAAGAACAACTGATGAAATTCACATCAAACAAACCAACCCTAGAGAGTATTGAAAGACATACTAGATAGAGATAAAAATGACCACAATCCCAGAACAATAACAGAAAGTGTAGTTGAAAAGGAAGGATAGAGAAATTCACTTTCATTAAATAAATATGAGGTGTGATAAAAATATTGTTTTACATGATATGTGTATGCATCAATTCTCTAGCATGAATATAATTATGAATTACAAACATATACTACTAATAAAGAGTTTCAGAAAATATTACATTAAAGGCACATTGCCATTAATCCTCCTCAAGACACCCCTTGTTTCAAACACACTTATCTCACTGTTCATGCCATTTTCTGAAGCAGTTTTAGAAATTCTCTTTCATGAGCCTTTTTATGCTATCTGCCAAGTGCCGTTCAACAGAAAGGCAGCCTCATAAATGTTTTTGACTCAAGACAACAATATAGTCACAACAGTGCAAATCAAAAAGACATTCAAGAAAGAGGACTTCCACAACTGCTTCAGAAAGTGGCAAGAATGAAGGGATAAGTGTGTTTGAGGTGAGAGGAGGATCCTGAGAGGATATAAATATATATGTACCAAATACAGGCGCACCCAACTATATAAGACAGATACTAATGGACATGAAAAACCAAATACACAAAACACAATTATAACAGGAGACTGTAACAGCCCATTGTCACAAAGAGATAGATCAATTGGACAAAAAATCAGCAAAGAAATAACACAACTGGATCATATCTGTGAAAAATTGGACTTAATAGATGTTACAGAGTATTCCACTCAGTCACATCAGAATACACATTCTTCTCAGCTGCACATGGGACATTCTCCAAAATAGATCATATATCATCCCATAAAACTTTCTTAACTGCAAAGGTATTGAAATTATCCCATGCATAATATCTGACCATAGCACACTGAAATTGGAAACTAATGGCAAAATAAATCACAAAGCCAGCATAAATACGTGGAAATTAAATAACAAACTTTTGAACAACCAATGGGCTACAGATGAAATTAAAGAAGAAATAAAGCAATGCCTGCAATTCAATGAAAATGTGGAAACAATATACTGTAATCTGTGGGATGCAATGAAAGTGGTCTTAAGAGGGAAATATATAACAATAGATTGTCATATCAAAAAAACAGAATGAGCACAAATAAACAATCTAATGCTTCATCTCAAGCTTCTAGAAAAAGAAGAGCAAGTTAAACCCTAAGCTCATAGAATAGAGGAAACTGTAAAGATTACAGCAGAAATCAATGCAATTGAAACTAAAAAAATACAAAGAATTAATGAATCAAAAAGCTGATTTTTTGAGAGAATAAACAAAATTGACAAACCTTTAGCTAACCCTATAAAGGAAAAACCCAAATTCATGAAATAAGGACTGAACAGGGAGAAATTACTACAGATTCCATGAAAATTCAAAAGATCATGCATACCTACTTTGAAAATCTCTACTCACATCAAGTAGAAAACATAGAGAAAATGGACAGATTTCTAGAAACATACGAACTACCAAAGCCCAACCAAGAAGATATAGCAATTTTGAATAACCCAATATCAGCTATTGAAACTGAAAACCTAATTAAAAACTTACCAACAAAGAAAAGCCCAGGTCTTGATGGATTTGTGGCTGAATTCTACAAAAAATTTAGAGACAATTTGATGCCAATATTCCTTAAACTCTTCAATGAAATTTAAAAGGAAGCAATCCTCCCTAAATCATTCCTAGAGGCAAGTATTACTCTCATACCAAAACCAGAAAAAGACCCCACCAGAAAGGAGAACTATAGGCCAATCTCACTAATGAACACTGATGCAAAAATTCTCAGTAAAATAAAATGGCAAATAAAATGCAGCAAATCATCAAGAAGATTATACATCATGACCGAGTGGGATTTTTTCCAGGAATGCAGGCGTGGTTTAACATATGCAAATCAATAAATGTAATACACCACATCAACAGAGCCAAAAACAAAAACCACATCGTCATCACAATAGATGCAGAACAAGCTTTCGATAAAGTGCAACACACGTTAATGATAAAAACCCTTCAGAAACTAGGAATACATGTGTCTACCTCAATCATATAAAGGCCATCTGTGTCAAACCAACAGCCAACATTGTACTAAGCTTTCACTTTAAAATCAAGAACAAGAAAAGGATGTCCACTCTCACCACTCCTATTAAGTATAGTTCTGGAAACACTAGCCAGGGCAACCAGACAAGAGAGAGAAATAAAAGGGATAAAGATAGGAAAGGAAAAAGTTAAATTATCACTATTTGCAGATGTTGTGATACTCTGTATAGAAGACCCAAAAGATACCATTAAAAGACTGCTAGAAATAATAAACAAATTCAGCAGTGTAGCTGGATACAAAGTCAACACTCAAAAATCAATAGCATTCCTGTACACAAACAAAAACTCACTGAGAGAGAAATTAGGAAATATCGTCCTTCACAATAGCATCTAAAAAAATGAAATACTTAGGAATCAACCTAAGAATGTAAAAGACCTATATGCTGAAAATTATGCTGTGCTTAAAACGGAGACTGAAGAGGATATTCGAAAATGAAAAAATATTCCTTGCTCTTGACTAGGAAGAACCAACATTGTGAAAATCGCTATACTTCCAAAACTGTTATACAGATTTAATGCAATCCCAATCAAAATACTATTAACAATGTCACAGATCTAGAGAAAACACTCCTAAAATTCATTTGGAAACAGAAGAAACCTAGAATAGCAAAGGCAATTCTGGGCAACAAAGGCAGGCAGGAGGCATCTCAATTCCTGACTTGAAACTATACTACAAAGCCACAGTGATAAAATCAGCATGGTACTGGCAAAGAAACAAACCTGAGCATCAGTGGAACAGATTAGAAGATGCAAGCCCAACTACAAAACACTCAGCTACCTGATATTTGACAAAGGGACTAAACATGTCCACTGGAAGAAGGATAGCCTTTTTAATACATGGTGTTTGAAAAATTGGCTCTCCACATGCTGAAGACTGAAACTAGATCCAAGCCTAACACCATGCACAAAACTAAAGTGTAAATGGATCAAAGACCTAAATATTAAAACAGAAACACTAAATCTACTTGGAGACAAGGTAGATAGAAGTCTTGGAGACATAAGGGTAGGCAGAGTATTCATGAACAAAATGCAAACTGCACAGGTAAGACTTCAAAGAATCAACAACTGGGATCTCATATTATTGAAATGTTTTTGCACTTCAAAATAAGTCACCAATAGAGTGAAAAGAAAACCCACAGAATGGGAAAGAATTTTAGTCAGTAACCCCAGACAAAGGACTCATATCCAGAACATACAAAGAATTGAAAACTATCAAACCCCCAAATTCAAAGGTCCTCTCCAAAAATGGGAACCTGAGATAAACACACAGTTCTCAGATGAAGATATACAAATGGCAAGTAAATACATGAAGAAATGGTCACCATCACTGGTCATTCGAGAAATGCAGATTAAAACAGCATTAAGATTTCATGTCACTCAGGAAAGAATGGCTGCCATCAAGAAATCAACTGATAACAAATGTTGGCGAGGCTGCGGGGGAAAATGGAACACTGCTCCACTGTTGGTGGGAGTGTAGACTGGTGCAACCACTATGGAAATCAGTATGGAGAATTCTCAGAAGACTAGGATTGGATGTTCCATTAATCCAGCTATTCCCTTCCTGGGTATTTCCCAGAAAAACTGAAAAGGTCATATCACAGTGATATATGTGACATATGTGCACCCATGTTCATAGCAACACAATTTGTAAATCTTGGAAACAACCAAGATACACATCAACCACAGAGTGGATGAAAAAGATGTGGTATTTATATGCAATGGAATATTACCTTGCCAAAAAAGGATGATCTTGAGGCCTTATAGGCAAATGGAGACAACTTGAGACTATCCTCATTAGTGAAATAAATAAGAATCATATTTATAATATCACATTGTGTCTCTAGTGCAAAAGTATTAAGAACTGTAGGGAGTAATAAAACCTAAAATGTGTAATTGCTATTGTAAAAAAGAGAAGAAAAGAAAGTGCTCTGAAGGATATAACTGCATGTATGTTTAAGTATGTAGGATTGATAAATATATTATTAAGTTTTTGTTGGATCATTGAACAGAACAGTTTGCAGTCTCGCTGTCTGAATGTCTACTTTGTATGCTTTACTTTTGTAACTTGAACAACCATTTCTAAGAGGACAATATGTAATTTATCAACTAGTGATTTCTTACTGTTTATTTTTTTTGAAATTATGTATTATTTTTACCCTTTTTTCTGTTTTGTTTTTTTTTTCTATTTAAAAATATTAAAGGTAATTCTTTAATTGAAAAAAAAAAGACATTGAGTATAATACTGCATTCACATCAATATATTAGTTAATGCCTACATATGTAGGTATTTTTTGAAGACTCTGTGACCTTTTCATGGATTCATTTTTCATTAAGACATGACGTTTCTGGAATAATATTTTCATTATTTGACATTAACTGGGGATATATAATAATAGAAAATTAATTCAAATTGCAATTATCTATATTTTACCCAGCACCTTCTTCCCACATGTCTCAGTTCTCTGACTGGTTGCATCCATGTTTGATGACATCATAGGAAGGGATGATGTCACATTTTCAATATTATGACTTCAGTGTAGGCTTTAGCAAAAGGAACAGATGGCTGCAAGAGAGAAAAACCCTTGCTTAAATTAGACTAACGCCAGAACTTGGCTTTGCATTGTAAAGTGTAATTAAAACGTTATTTTAAAATACATTTCACAGTTTATACATCCTAGGGAGAGCTTTTTACCACATGAACTTTCCAGCTGCCACACAGCACAAAGGAGGTTGGGTTTTTCATGTAGGGCGATCCGCAGTTCAGGGGATGACGGTATTGAAGAAAGCAAAGATAAATCTCATAGACACAGCAATCCGATTTGTTAAAATGTCACATTTCACACGAATGGTGTCAGAGTCATGAAAAATTGCTATAGAAAAAAAATTACTGGTGGAAGGTTTCAGTGAGAATATCCTGGGTAGAAAAACATGACCAGTGACTTTGGCCTTCACACTGCCAGGCTTGCCCAGCCTAGAATGTCTTTGTTAGAGTGCACAACAAATACCAATTTCCATCATAATGTAGTTGCATTTTACCGGCACTGTTTGTGCCTGTGAAGAAGTTTTGGTGCATTTCAGTTTGCCAATTGTTTGCCTGGTTTCTTTTCACTCTTTGTTTCTGTCTCTGCCTCTGTCTCTTTTAGTTTCTTATTCTCTCTTTTCCTTTTTAAGTAAACTCTACATTGAGAGGAAATACATAGTAAGTATTAATAGGGAGGGGAATTGGCACAGCACTTTAAGGGTTAAAATAATTTTTCTTACCCGTTTGGCATATGAGTAAACCGACTTGGAGGTTTTTGTCACTTTGAAAGTCATACAGCCATACTCTATTTGCTGGTGTCAGAACTTGAAACCAGGCAACCTGACTCCAGTATCCTGTACTCCTCTACTGTCCCCCATAGGCATAAAATCTACACTGCATTAATGAAAGAACACTGTAGTTGTTGCCAGTGTCATCACACAACTTCAACCTCAAATAAATCCAAGGTTTGTGTCAGTGAGTACTTTTTACAAAATGATGTATATTTATGGAAAATTTACTACTTGTATCCCCATATAGATGTAAGTGGCCATAAAGATGTGTTTAAAAGAGTAGATTTTTGAAAATTTATTATTTTTTTTATCTTCTGTGGTAGTAAAAGCAGAGAACATGTCTGTGGACAACAGTATCTGGAGACAGGAAGTGTTACTAGTAAATATTTTCTTATTAAAATTTCTCTTTTGCTTATTAGGCCTCTTCTTCATTGCCTGAACTAATGTCTTTAATGTTTCATTCTGGTTGAATCTGAGGCAAAATGATTGAAATCACTTGTTTTTACTACTACACATTAGATGCATATTACACAATGCACACTCATGATTATCAATTCATTTCATGTATTACATAGATAAAGCAGACATACACATATTCCTAACAAGAAACTATTAAGAAATATAGTGTGATGTTTGTAAGATTCTAAATGTTATAAACCACTGCATGTGTACAACATTCCAATTACTCTTCAAAAAATGCTACTGTACTACTTAATGATATAAAGATGTTTTTGTTCAATTTCCATTTTCTAAACATTTGCTTGGAATTGTTTTGAATGATACCACATTAATTCACAAGTATTTATAGGGATTAAAATTGCACAGATCCAAGGAAACTGCATAATTATTTTTGTAGCTTTTCAAAGACAACCTTAAAGTTGACAGTTGCCATAATTATAATTAAATAATTATTTTGTGAACTGAGAGTGGAATATTCTTCTGGATATGACCCAGTATACACAGTAATTAGCCATTCAAAAATTTGTTAAATGAATCGATGTTCCACTCTTAATTCATTAATTAAGAACATGGAAGAAAAGTATCAAAATTTTATCCTCTTAAGATCTGGGCCAATTTGGCTTAAATAATCAGAGGCCAGGAGAATAAAATGCATGATTGGCCCATTGTCTGATTTTTCCATTTTTATCTTCCAGATACCCTTGGGTCTAATTCATTTACCTTCCACAGGAAGCAATTTTCAAAGAGAGTAATATATTGTTTTCCTGCACTTAATTATTGTGCCCCTAATCAAACTCTGGCCCCTGGATAGTCATCAAAGCCTTTTGGCTTGTTAAATGGCTATCCAAAAACAAAATAAACAAAGTAAATCAAAAAAGATTTAGCCATCGCACCTGTTCAAGGCTATCCAGGAAATTCAAAAGTTTAATTAGCAACTGGCACCCCAAAAATCCACCAGCCAAGTTGTTTTACCCAGCTTTCAATGGTAATGAATAAATGTCCTTGCCCTAAAACTATTTAAAGCTACCTTAATAGTGAGATTAGGGGCAAAGATAAATGCCAAAAAGATGATCTGAAGGGTGTTTTCTTTTTCCTTTTGATACTGTGGACTGAACCCGGGAGCACTCTACGGCTGAGCTACATCCTCAATCCTCACCCTTTTACAATTTTGAGACACGTGGTCTCGCCAAGTTGCCCAGGCTGTCCTTGAACTTGTGATCCTCTTGCCTCAGTCTCCTGAGTTGCTGGAATTCTCAGTACGCACTATCATGCCTGACCCTGAGAGGTGTTTTCCTAATCACATATAGGCTGCATCAGAGAAGGGCCAGGGTGATGCTGTCGGTACCTGCCACCTGGAAATGTAAATAGAAGTTTAACAGGTAATAAACTACTGTAAATGATTAAATGTTGAAAGTTTTGTGGATTAAATGTCCAAACAAAGACAGAAGGGACCATTGCTATTTCCCAATAAATGTTGACTTTGGGTGGCTGTAACTGTCAAGGGCACCCCCACTGATATCCCCGAGGGTTAAATTCACAGCAGTCAACCATTCTTCAAAAGGCCTCTGTTTCTTAAGGGGAACAGATGGTTAGGGGAGGGCCTGGACACAGAAGCAGATTTATCTTGTCAAGCTGTTATCTCTTGGTAAAGGACCTTAAGCAGTTCAATGACAACAGTGTGGTTCCCAGGTCTCTGAAGGTGATGGCCATTCATTAACTGTTTCCCTCTAGCATCAGGACTGTCCCTTCTGGATAACTGCATAGCCAGTTGTTGTATTGGTAGTGGTGGTGTGTGTGCACATGTGTGCTGGGCGGTGCAAATCCTAATAAAGATTTTATAAAATTTTGGAAATATTTAATTGCTTCAATATGACTATGAAGATACTGAAATATTTTATTTTTGAGTTCTCAAAGATGATAAGAAATGCTACTTTAAAGGGGAAACATGAATCAATTTTTCAGGAATACCAGACTGAGAATTCATCCTGCTTGGATTTAAAACCCACATTACTTGCATCACTCTGCTTAGATAGATATTATTCTTTTTTTTTTGATAGATTTTATTCTGTCCCAGTTTGTCTACTTGCATTAGATTAGAAGGCACAGACAGCTATCCCCAAAACATCAGAATATAGCACAGTAATCATCTTTAATTTCCTATTATCTTAATCTGGAGCGCTGTGTGACTTACACTGTTTTATCATGACTGATCTTAGTTAAATCTGGTTTGTTTGATTGCTGTTTGGTATCAACAGATTTTATTTAAAACTGATATGATTGATAGTATCAAGTCTGAGAGTACAGGCAACCTCACTGAAGATGACAAGACTCTACGATACACATTCTGGTTTGATAACTGCCTGCTTTCAAAGTTTTATACTATATACAAAGTTGTGTTTTTATTAATACTGTTATGTACTGATATATTCAATTATACTATGTCTGATGATATAGCCAATTCTATTGACGATAATAAGAGACAACACAGGAACTATGGTAGAACTCCTTGTACAATGGTCTTATATGTCTTTTTTGTTTCACGTGTTTATAGGAATATATTTTGTTTTGTTTTGCTTTGTTTTCTTTCTCCCTCTAATATAGAAAGGATAGAAATACATGTTAAGACTCATGCATGTGTAGAATCTATAAACAGTTTATGAGAACTGATTTTATGACACATGATGAAATGAACAGATACTTTGAAGAAAAAGAGACATTAAAGAACCCAGTGCTGATCCTGGAGTGTCATAATGTGACACCCAGCAATAATATTATTCTTTGTTCAGAGTGATATTAGCCTGCTTGGGTTTGTTCAATCTCAACATAATTGAAGATATGGATAACTGCATGTATGTTTAAGTGTTTAAGATTGATAACCGTATTTATAAGTTTTGTTGGATAATTGAACAGAACTGGTTGCAGTCTCACTGTTTGAATCTCCACTTTATATACTCCACTTTAGTATCTTGAATAACTATTTGTAAGAGGACAATTTGTAATCATCAATTAGTGATTTCTTACTGTTTATTTTTTTCTTTGAAAGTATGTATTATTTCTACCCATTTTCTGTTTTTAGTCTTTCTTTAAATAAAAAAAAAAAGACACTGCAGTACCCAGTGCTGATCCCAGAGTGTCATGATGTGAAATCCAGCAATACTATTATTCTTTGTTCAGAATGATTTTTAGCCTGCTTTAGTTTGTTTAATCCCAACATAAATGAAGATATGGATAACTGCATGTATGTTTAAGTGCATAGGATTGATAGTTGAACAGAACTGTTTGTAGTCTCGCTGTTTGAATTCCCATTTCATATGTTCCACTTTTGTATCCTGAACAACTATTTGTAAAAGGACAGTATGTAAACATTAATTAGTGATTTCTTACTGTATATTTTTTCTCTGAAAATATGTATTATTTCTACTCATTTTCTGTTTTGTTTAGTTTTTCTTTAAATAAAATTTAAAAAAAAAAAGATTTCATCCTGCTAGGGAGCCCTGATTCTCTGAAAGGGGCTGTGGGCAGAACTGGTCCCACTCCCAGGTTTCTGGTATCAAAACCACAACAGTGTGTGGCTTTAGCATCTTCTTCCCTACACCCAAAAGCTGAGGCTGGGAGAAATAAAGTGCAGGTCTGCGCAGTTGGGGTTTACGTTAGAAGTCCTGCTTTCAAGACGCTCATCTTTGCATTTTGTTTTATGAAACCCAGGTCCTTTTGTGAGTGATCCCCATTATGAAAAGCAGAAGTCCTTGCCGTTTCAGCACAGGCAGGGTGTGTGCAGGGTCAGCAGACCCCAGAGCGTCTGGGAAAGCCTGACTGGGTCCAGCTTGAGCCTGGCAACTGACGGTGCACAGTTTCTTCAAAGGGATAACATAGCCCACATCTGCTACACTGATAAGTTTTCTCCTATTAATTAATTGGGTTTTCCCAAATTCACCACACTACTTTGTCTAAAGCCATTTTCCCCAAGTTGTCTCCCCAGAGAAGTCCTCATATTTCTATGTACTTCTTTATCAGGCACCAGAATCCCTATTAAGTCATAACATAGGTATACTATATACTACAGCAGTGGGTTCAGGGTTTTTTAGCTTGTCTAATGTCAGGTCAACCATTTCATCCAATCCTGAGCCATCCAAGAAAGAGATGTTGAAACTACAGCCAATGGAAATCAGGTGATGCACCTTTTTCATTTCAAAGAGAAATGTGTACATGTGGATACATACACCATGTGTGTGTGTGTGTGTGTGTAGTTCAGGCAGTCCAATATGTGGTCCATGGGCCACATGCAGTCCTGGACAGCTAGTGATGTGGACCCTCAAGATCATAAACTTTTAACATTATGCGGTGAGTACTTAGTTACTTTTTCATGACTTGAATGTGTTGTAATTGATCACTAACTTGTAGGTGCTGACTCCACTCTGTACCCACCATACACCATATCTGCCTGGAACCTGTGTGTATCACATGTTATATCTGCTTGTGTAGCTTGGTGAATGAAAAGTGATTTCTGATAATAGCATTTCAATTTCCTTACACATATGTGTCTGCGAAAATGGGCATTTGTGTGTTACCAGGGAGATATGTTTTCTTATTCATTAAACATTGTCTTCTTATTTTATAAAATACTAAGGTCAAATATAAAGAAGATAGTTTTGTTATTCTTGTAAATTAACTATGTTATAGATTTTATATGCAGCCCATGCAAGCCAAAAAGTTGGGCACCTATACTACAGTCTATATAAGTGATGGTGAATGTTTCAGAGCTCTCAATGACAAAAATAGCCCACAGTAGCACGCATGCTGTAAGTCTGGCACCACTGGTCCACATATGTATGTACGGTGCCACAAAACAAACATTTGTACTTTATAAATTGCTTGCTTTTATGAGCCAGAACATAGTGTGGTAGAAGGTTTATTACGTAATTTACAGTGAAAGCTTTATTTTCTAGTTATGCAAGCATAATGTTCTGGCTTACATACGTGCCTAACTGTAAAGTACAAATTTTCTTTAAGAAGAGCCTTAAGCCAGCTTTGAGCAGTATGACTGTTTACAGAAAACCTCTCCAGCATAGTACATATGAAGCAATATAACTGAGGAGCAAAACTCCCAGATTTTATGAGTTTGGTTGGGAAAGTGAAGATTCCTCAGGGGACAGAAGTAGTAACAGAGCCGAGAAAGGGAGGAAAACGGGGAGACTTGGAATTGGCATCGCTGGGAGCTTTAACATAGAAGTGTGACCAAGTTTGGGACAGAAGCATTTGGGAGATGAATTGAAGATGTATAAAGCGAGCTGCCTCTTCCACAAAGGCAACACATTTATGGATGAACTAGATAAAAGCTGCTCACAGAGAGAGTTTTCGGAGATTATATGTTTTTCTCAGTTTTCTCTTCTGATGAAAGGGAGGGAAATTGAGTGGAAAATCTGCTTAGAGAATCCATTAACTGAAACTGGTGCTCACCAATTTAGGGGCTAGAATTCCCAACATCTGTCTGAGCCTAAATCCCTCAAGTTAAATTTTACTTAGTTACAACAAGCTTTGTGTCATGCCATTTATTTGAGATACTTACAGCAGTTAAATTCATAAAGAGAAAAAGGCTAGGAGAGTGAATGTACTTAACACTAAGGAACTGTATGCTTCAAAATGCTTAAGATGGTAAGTTTTATGTTATACATATTTTGCAATTTAAAAAATTTTAAAATTTCCTGAAATTTAGTTTAAAGTAGTCTCAAGTTGATCATTCTCCCTTACTGCCTAGTAGAAACAAATACAACAACAACAACAACAACAACAAAAAAAAAAAAAAAAAAAAAAAGAAGAAGAAGGAGAAGAAGAAAAAAGCAAGATGAGGCCATTGCCAAAGAAGCCATTTCTCATCATAATTGCCAAGGTATTTGAGCTGTGCTGAATAATAAACAATTTTATTCTAAAACACAAAGAAAGCCAGGGATATAGCTCAGTGGCACAAGTGCCTGTCTGGCAAGCGCAAAGGCCTGAGTTCGATTTCTGGTACCAAAACAAAAGTAAAACAAAAACACAAGGAAATAAGCTCCTGTGAAGAACAAAATGTACAAAATTTTAATACTAAGAAAAAAAGCAGATACTTGAAATCAGATTTATCAGTCATAAGCTAAATATTGTATATTTTACATTTTTATAGATCAAATTGAAAACATGTTGAAAGAAAAATAAATCATCAAATTTAACCAAGCAGATTTGAAAGTCAACAAATTGAACTTAATAAACGAAATAAAAACAATAGTTCTCAATATTCTAAGACAAAATAATAGGGCAAGCACAGGATGATTCTGCAGGAAGAGAAGTAATAGATAGGAAGACAAAACTCAAGATGTTACAGCTCAAAAGTATAAATGGAGGGAAACAGGAAAGAGATATCAAAAGATATGAAGGACAGATAAGAAGATCCTATATATATATATATATATATATATATATATATATATATATAAACTGGAGTTTATGATGTAAATAGCAAAGAATATTTGAGTGAAGGAAGGTTTGGAGAGACAATGACTGAGATTTTGTAGAAATAATAAAAGAGAGATACATCTTTATAGTCAAGAATCTCAAGGGAAGGCAAGTATAAAATAAAGACAAATTCATGCTTAATTGGGTTATAGTGAAAATGCAGAATAACAGAAACAATGATGTTAAGAAAGACAAGAAAGACAAAACAGTTCCAAAGGAGGGCAACTAGTTTCAGCTGACTTATCAAGATGTTACTTGATAATGGAATATCTTTGACTAGCTTAGAAAAATAATTTATGAATAAAATCTATTTCAATTTAGCAAGTCTATGAAACCTACTATGAATAAAGGAGTAAGGGTTTGTGTGGACAAAAGCTAAAGATCTTAACTCAAACTTTCACTGAGGGAAATTCAAATTTTTCTTAGGAAAAACAAACTCAGAATGAATACTGAAAATGCAAGACAAAACAATAAAGAAAATAGCAAACAAAAAGGTTAAGCTAAATAAACACTAACCATTTTTATGTTTTATAAATAATAAAAAAAGTTCTAAACATTGGGATTAGAACAATAAAGTAAACTCAAAGTTCTAGAAAGAACAGTATCTGATTTAGCTGCTAAATAAGAATTGGAGGATTCTATGGCAATCATACAACTAGGAAGAATGATAAAACTACTTACATTTAAATTTTGATAAATTATACATATTAAATTTTCCATTACAACCATTAGAGACTAGGTATAGTATATATACCTTCCAAAAGGCAAACATAAAATGAGAGAAAATAATTAATAAAAATAAACCAAGAGGAGATAACAATAACTGACAAAAACACTAGAAAAATCCTATTGGTAAACACACTCAATGTAAATAAACTGAATTTTCCATTTAAGGATGAAGCATATCCGAATAGGCAAATACCCAAATCAGTCACATGTTCATTATATACGATACATCTAGAACATAACTACTCTGAAAGGTAAAAAACACAGTATGGGCAGGGGGCAGAATGTAAGTGTAATACTAACACAAAAATATATTTATGTAATATTAACAGATAAAACAGTCTTTGAAACAAAAAACATGACATAAAGCATCTCAACGGAAAGATGTAAAAGTTTGTATGTAAAAGTAGTAATATAGCTTCAAAATATATATACCAGAGGCTGAAATATGTGTAAGGAAATTTTAAAACATCCATTACAGTAGATTTTAGTATAGTCTCTTAGTAATCAGCATATCAAGTAGGCAAAAACTCAGTAGGTATATAGGGTATTTAAGCAACACTGACAATTATAGACAAATGGACAGACACAGAACACATACAGTTGCCTAACAATGTTCTCAAGAACCTAAGAAACATTTAGAAAAGTTAACAATATGTATTAGAGCTATACTCTTTTGTATGTATGACATACTTTAAAATATGTAAAAAGTGTGGAGTTCCTTGGGGCACCAGTAAGTTAACATCTGCTTGGGTTCACTCAGGGCTTAGAAAGCAGCTGAGCCTGAGGAGCTGGAACAACTCAAAGATGAGGTGTTTGCTCTACCAGCACCCCAGAGGCGAGCCTTGCTGGTGACACAAGGAGAGACGCTGGGAATCATTTGATAAAGTTAATGATTCGGCAAATTGTCATCATGATTTTCTGACCTAAAATATGCACCCCCATTCAGCAGAACACAACACCTTTGCTTGTTTCTCAATAAAATTGAGTGTTTAAGTCAGCTCAAGGCTTCATTTGAGTGAAGACTCCTGACTTTCCCACAAAGACAATCTCTGTCTCTTGTATCTTTATTCATCTCTCTAATCAGGGTTTGCTGGCTCGAACTTAGCCAAAAAGCACCCTACTTATTAAATGGACTACATGTACTGGTAGTCTACATCACACATGTAACACTGTCAAATGCATTGTTTTATTTCTTCATAACTGTTTTGGTTTTGAGATGAAGGTCTTCCTGTGTTGCCCAGGTTGTCCTATAACTACCAGGCTCAAGAGATCCTCCTGCTTCAGCCTTTCCAGTAGCTAGGATTATGGGCATACCCAGAAACATACTGTTTAAAATTCCATTGCAGCTACTCAAGATCTCATAGCATTTTTCTGTCAGTCACAAAAATGGTGGCATTAACTTTTATTTCTTCTAGATAGCTGGTGAGTTTTCCTAGGAGGTTCATCGATCTGATTTCTGATGATTTTTAAACTTGGTTCTCCATTAATCATATGGTGGTTTACATCAATTTGTAAGACAGCCTGCTTACCTGTCCAGGTGGGACATCACTGTTTTGGACATGTCTGCACCTGCCTCTTGCAATATTCGGATAATCTGAAATGGTGCCCTTGAATTCCGTCCAGGATGGATAATAACCGGACAGCCGAGCTGAGCCTGGGCATGTGCTGTTGCATGAAGAACCTTTCTTTCACTCTCAGTCAAAGGCCAAGAGCAACCAATTTCTCCAATGACACCACACTTGATAGTGGTTCCATCAGCTCCATGGAGAATTTCATCAATAAGGATACCAGTAAGCTAAAGAAGAGTGAGAATGAACACATTTTATAGATCGTGGAATTCATCACGGTAAATAAAGGAACTTTTTAATTTAGCCATTGATTGCTTGAAAAGCATGTTTGACATTAATTCAATTAGTGCTGTTCAGTGAGTAGGATATTGTGCTGGGAAAATGCAACAAGCTTTTCTAGATTTAAGATTCAGTAAAGGGTTACTGTGATTATTTAACTAGCACATCAGAACTCTAGGAAGTTCCAAGGGGAAAAGTGAGCTTATGAGCATATATGGAGCTTGAGAAAAAAATATCTATAATTTAATCTGGGAGTAGCATCTATGAATGCCAGTGAATCTCTGTCAACTGTATCAAGTAATTCTTTAAGTCTCCCTTATTTGCTCAGTCCTTTGCCCTATACTGCATAGAAAATCCACAGCACACAATACCAACATCACACACTGGCTTAATTGTATACTAAGTACTAAGAGTGTCTGACAAATTTTTAATCCGTGCTGTCAGCTTAGTCCTCAAATAACTTTAATTTGTTTTTACAATCTTGGTTGGAAAAATAATAGCTTTAAATACAAACCATTTTAAGCTTTAACTGATTCTGTGCAAAGATGTCAAGTAACATTTTATGCCTTTCAAGCAGGTCATGAAAGATATGTAGAAATATGTATCTATATGTATAAATACAGGTAAACACACATATGTGTTTGGGAGAGAGCATACACATGCAAAAAAGCTTTGAGGTTTGTTTTTTCTTTTCTGTCCATGAAAGTTTTACTTTCTTCTGTGCATTCTTAATTAAAGTCATAGCATTAACAAAACAAAACAAACACAAGAAGAAATTTTCTTCCATCCTTCCTGTTTTGAAAAAAAGAAAGAAAGAAAGAAAGAAAGAAAGAAATATTTGCAAGAAGGAAACATATTTGCAAAAGTACCAAGTCTCTGTGTACCAAGTTTCTCCCTATAGTGAGGTTTCATTCTTGGTTATTATAAACTCCAGAGGGAAAATACCATGGTTATATACTGAAGTTTATAACGGACAAGTGAAGGTTACAAACAGACAGGGGCACCACTACTAGGCACTTACATGGTATATGCTAATCAAAGTATTAACCAATAACCAATGCACTCAGGTTTCCTCCCTCAAGACTTTTTCTTTATGATGAAAAATGTTACTAATTTGAATTCCAACTAGCAGATGTCTTTGAAGGTAGTGACTTTCTATACCACATTCAGCTACTTCTGAGCCAATGGCCTTTTCAGTATTTGGAAATTATTCTGAATTTATACACAAACATTGTCAAAGAAATGAGGACTTTTTACCTGCTCCACTGACATGGCTTTGGTCTCTGAAGAATGAGTTGCATCTACATAAAATCCAGCTCCTGCTATGACATGGACCCCAGTCTGCTCTGAGAGCCACTTCAAGGTCTTCACATCCCTGCAGATACCAGTGGTCGTGTTCTCCACCACAGTGCCACCACCCTTAGCTTTGAAATGCAACAGCTCTTCCTTGACAGCTTCTGTCTCCTGATTCAACAGAAGATTCTCTTTATGGCAATAAGGGTTTTGCTTAATCCAAAATGAGTTTTTCATCAGGATAGGTTCCTTAGAGGTGGCTTCATAGCACGGAGAAGGTGGACAGTAACAAAAATCAAAGGTCATTGTCAAATGTTCATGGGTCAGGGTCCGGCCCAGTTTGCTTGGATCCACAGGGCCCAAAACAGTTTGCACTTTTCCACTTAAGGAAGACATTTCTGATGGTACTACTAGGAGGGTCCTTAAAAAGAGTGTTTTCTGGAAAAAAGAAGACTCTAATCAGAAAATTTAGCACGCTGTCTCTAAAGGGTAGGAGGCTGCAAATGGATACCTATGTAAGAAACAGAATCAACAAAACTAGAGACAGGACCTCAGTTATCAATCTGCCAAAATCAGAGTCTATTATCCATGCAGTTCTGAGTAACATGCATGGTATAACATGTCTCCTGCCACTGCCATGGGTACTCCTCTATTTTAGTCCACCAGAAATCTTTATTTTAATATTCAGTCCACATTTTTTAAGTTTCACTTAAGTTTATCTTATTACTCATAGCTATACTTTCTTAGATAATTCAGTATTAATAATTAAACAGTTCTTCATAATCAATAACATCAAAACCATCCATATATTAGTACTGTTTCATTACTTTTCAGCTAATTTAAATATACAGATGCTAGGAATTATTCCACAATTTATCTGTTATCCAAGTGAATGAATTTCTGATGAAATTGGAGCTATGAAGAAACAAAAGCTGGGGGCTGGGGGTTTAGTTCAGCGGCATAAGCGCCTGCCTTGCAAGCAGGCAGTTGTGAGTTCGATCTCCGGTACCGATTAAAAAAAAAAAAAGAAAGAAACAAAAGCTGAGATTTCTAAGCTGTATGGTTTCACAGAGGAAGTTCCTAAAACAACTAGGGTGGGATGAGCACACCTAGGTTTAATAATGAAAAAACAACAACAAAAACAAAGCCCACCACTTAAAATGGCTTGTTGTTCAGGCACATAGAAAGGAACACTTCAATGAGGCCAAAATTCTTAATGAAAGCAACTGCGATACTACTGAAATTGAAATTTTTGTCTCTAAAAAGAACAAGGACCTCTTTATTCTTTATACATTTTCATTTGTGTTACAATTTCTATGATTGGCAGCAAAAATCCCAATCTAGTACTTGTGTGTTAAAAAACGCATTCCCGAAGTGAAGGGCTGTGGCTGATAAAGAAAAACGCTATGAAACTGGTGACTTCAAACTTCTACCTGGCCAAGAGCAAAACCACTGCCAGAAAAGGAGGTAATACACTGGGTGTCAGCCTCACACGGTGGAAAAAACTGACCAGGAACTGAGAAGAAAAGAGCATCTTTCAAAGTTCTCAAATTGTTCCTGCACAAGACATTCTGAAATCATTATTTTTCCCCACTTCTCTCTGAAAACTTTTGACATTCTAAGTATCTATGTTCTTAAAAGTAAATTAGAATAACAATGTATATTTCATAAGTTGTCACAAGAATTAAATGAGATACTTTAAGTAAAAATACCTGTACAAAATATTTTGCACACTGCTCATGCTCAACAAATAGTAGCTTTGTTATGCTAGTGCTAAGGCTTATTTTGTACTTACTGGTTCATTTCTTTTCATAGGAAGTGGCTGATGGGAGAGTAGATGATTTGGAGGAACAGTGGAAGAGCTTGTAATGTGGTTAGTGTAAGCACTGGACAAAATCGATGCATGCATAGGACATAGTGAAAATGAAGTCAGAGGTCAGGAAAAAGGGTTCTAAGATTATAAGCTAATTTATATCCAGCCATTGCAATTATGTTGAATTCAGGTGTTTTAGAAATACTGGCCCACCGAAGTGGCCAATTTTGATTTTTGTCAGAGCATTGGGTTACTTATGGCTAACGTGGTCATTGCATGGTGTTTGACAGTGCTCTTCGATAAGTCAAGTTTCTTTCAGGTAGACTGTTCACACAGTGGCCACGAGGAAAGAAGATGGTTCCTTCTCAGAAAATCACTACACCAACATCAGTCCTTACACAGGACAACATTTTTCATTGAGGACATCTAGGAACTCACTGTCCAATGCCTTATTCCTTTTTACTGAGAGCAAAGAGGTTATAATTTATTCTTTCAGCTGATGGAATCACAGCACCATTAATAACAGATTCAATCCTCCATATGGCTCAACTTGCTGTTTCCTTCCCTCTGGCTGACACTGTTACAGATGTATTCTGGAGAGTCACAGAGGGGCAGAAACTAGGCAAAATTGATAAAACATTATCACTTTTACCATAAAAGTACCAAATTGCATATTTAATTGATGTACATTTGAAAGAGCAATGTGATATGCTTCAAGCTCACAAGCTGTGCGTCTTTGTAAAAAAAAAAAAAAAAATTCACTTAAGAAATGCCACCCCTTCTGGGAGACTGCTCTGATGCTAGCAGACAGAACAGGTTGGCTCTTCTCAGGATCACACACAATGTAACCCACACTCAAAAGATAAGGAAAGATTAAAGAACAAATCATAGCTAACACAGTTTTAAGCCTGAATGTATCTCTGAGTGGGATAAAGTATGAATCTATAATTCATGGTTGCAGTACAGCTCAGGTGCTCTTTTCAGACTATATTCAACCTGGAGATTGCTCTCTTTTCAAAACACAGGGGAGAATTCCCACAGCTAGGAGAGAAGTCATGAACCATAGCTGTGCAGACAGAAGTGACCACTGATAGAAGAGGAAGCTTCTGGCATCTTCCAGAGCAGCTATGGGAAGCTTTGGTGCTGTACGTCCTGCACAGAAGCAAGTAGGAAAGGGCTAACTGGAGAATAAACACAGCTCCCAAAGCTCTGGTGTGCTTCTCAGGGGAAACTGAACAGTCAGAGAGGACAGTCTGCAGCTACTCATCCAGTCTTGCCAAAGGACACACTCTTCTAATCCTGAGAACCAAAAGAATACTAACAAAATGAGTAAGAGGAAGAAAATCAGAAGCAGGACAACACAACTACTACCATGCCATTGAGAACCAGAGGCCACCAAGTAAGATTTGCCTTTGTTAAAAAATGCATGGGTAAATTAGCTTTTATAAAATATGTAGAAAATTTCTCTAATTCCTGAAGATTTCTGAAAGGGTAGTTTGGAGGCAATTTTTATTCAATTTCATGGAAATATTGCCACAGTTATTTTTCCTTGGCCATGATGCTTAAGATAATTCTGTTAACCAAGGTGGAATAGCCTGATCAACTGCATTTCACGTTTCAATTGGAAGACTCTAGAATTCCAAATATTTAACACAAGAGTGGGTGGGATTTCTTCTATATGCAGCAGATGCATCATTTTTCTTGCAGACTTACTCTCTTCCCCTAATGCTACCACACTGGTCCTACAGCTGGTTGAAGGTGCCAGTCTTGCAATTTTAGATGCAATGTACAAATCTGCAAGGTAATTTTTAGTGCATTAACTTTAGTTTTAACTAAGTTTTAGTGCATACAACTTATTCTATTTTGCTCATTTATTTCACTGACTCCACCCCATCCCCCTGATAACACATGGGAAGGCATTTCAGGGTTTTATGCAAGAGAAAATATGAAGTGAGTAGCCTAGAAGCCATGTGCGGAAGAGAAGGAAGGGAAGCCATGTTCCTGCAACACAAAAACCAGAAGGGCACTGCTATAATCCAGAAAAAATGAGGTGGTAGCTTGGTCTGAGATGACATCGTGAAGATGGCAAGAAAGCAGAAGCAGTGAGAGGGAGAGCAGATGGAACTTTGTAACTGGACTTGCAGACTTGTTGGTACTAAAAAAGTATCCTTCAAAGAAAAGAAATGGCCCAAATATATCAGCCTTTCTATTCTTTTTTTTTTTTAATGTGTTACATCACATAGTGCAGCAACACTCTACAAACACAGCCCTTAAAGCTACCATTTGATTTGCGACAAAAATATTTTTAAATCTGTAAAATATTTTTCAAAGCTTGTTTGAATGCTTCTACCATGCAGGTTCAAACCTGCGACACATCTTCTCCCGAACAGTGAGAACCTCTGGCTGAAGAGTGAACACACAGGGAGACCCTCCCTGCTCGCCACCATTTATGGCAAAATGGTTCCACTGCATGCAGATTTATGTCTTTTAATATTAACTATTGTCAAGAAATCAATAACCATGCTGGAATGAAGAAAGAAATCCAACCACATCAGTATACAGAACAATAAAGGGACCCAGCAAGTTCTTCAAACAGTGACATAAAGAAAACAAAACTGCTCAGGATGCAATAAGGAGTTTGCATTTTAAATTCAGAGGAAAATGGTGGGTTTCATTCCCAAGCCTTTTTTCCCCCATTTTCCTAAGAAAATAGATAGTCTGGGAATACTAAAGCTATGAAATCCATCAAATTGCTTGACTGAATAGATTCTGTTTGTGGTTTCATTGACTTTTCAGTGCAATCAGACATGGGCCATCTGGTCAACTCTTGAAGTCTTTCACATGCTATGGATTTTGGTAACTGGTACAGCTGGCTTCTTGAATTTATTATTTTTTTACCAGTTAAGTCAATCAACTAAAAATGCATTCTGGTTAAAAGAAAAAGAAAAGAGTGAAGGAAAAATGCAATAGGAAAGAGGAGAAAGGACAAGAAAGAAAACTATATTTAAGTCAAAACACAACATTATACACCACTTAATATAATACTTCAGGCTTGGGACAGTGCAGTAGCGTTGTCTAAAGATAGTTGGAATAACTGACATTTACATTTTCTTGTAATGTTGCATGTCTTGCTCCTTCAAAGAAAGCTCCCCAGTTAATGGTATGACAATGTTAGAGATATTTTCTTGATTTTACCAAATATCTATGACTGAAAGCAAAACATGCACCAAGTTAAAATTTCCAAAAGTTTACATCTTTTTCTTCATAAAGAATTCTTCACACTGAAGTTGGTCCCCAGCTTTTTATAGACAGGATTTTCTGTCTCTTGGATTCCTAGTAATAGCTTGTCTCCCAGAAACAGCAGTATTTTCAGCAAATTGTACAGCTGGTTCTTAACTGCATTTGGTCATCAAAGAACTTAACATTTTTCTTACTTTTAATTCTTGCCAAACCAGAAATTAATGTCTGAAATATTTTAAATATCTGTATTCTTTTCAATTATATTTTGAAGTCTATGACATTGTGTTTTTTTTTTTTTTTTTTCCTGAGAGGTACTGGGGATCCAAGTCAGAGCCTTCGGCATGTTAGGTAATCACTCTACCACTGAACAGTAAGCCCTAAACAC